ACAATGAAATAATTATCCACTGTTACTAAACCAAGAGGAGTAGATAGAGTGAAATAAGCAGATCAATTTATTTAGTGTTTTCATAATAAAGAGAGTGAAGAATTAATTAAGAAATGGAATATTTAATTAGAACCAAAATGTTTATAGATTTAAAGTTCTAAAATCAAACCAGGAAATATTATGATGGGGAATAACACATCTATAAATATAGAAACAGGTAATTTAGATAGAGATACTCAGACAGCTATGTTAAGAGGAGTAGGTTTAGAGAATTGGGGAATATTATATAATGATAGAGATGGTAGATAAGCTGAAGATTTTATGAGTTGTTTGAGAGAGAGTATTGAATATTGTAAATTTTAATGCAAAGCTCCTCGTACTTTTGTACTTCATTCAAATAGAATTGAAGATTGGATTAAATAAATAGATTTAATTGTATAATAATCATAAGGACCATAAAAAGTAACCTTGTTATTATTAATATTAAATGGTCCAAAGAAGAATGCTCCACTTTATACAGATATCAAAAGATATTTAATTAATGATTGTCCAATAGCTTCATAAGTTATATTGAGTTCCACTTTAAATTAACCTAAAGGAAAAGTTAAAACTATTTGTAATAAATTATTGGTTCAAATTTGTGCTAAAGTTGGAGGAACACCTTGGGGAGTATCAGAATTACCATTTACTGATTAACCAACTATGATTTGTGGAATGGATGTATATCATTCTACTGGAAAAGCAAAAAAATCTATGTTATCATTTGTATCAACAGAAGATGAATTCTTTAGTAAATACATGACTTAATCAATTGAAATGGAAACTGGAGTAGAATTTTCATTCAGTTTATGTCCAGTCTTAGTCAAATCCTTGCAATCTTTTTGTGGAGATAGGAATGGTCCTTTGCCATCTAGAATTATTATATTCAGAGATGGTGTTTCTAATTCTTAAGCAAAAACTGTTATTGAAACAGAAGTAGCACAATTCAGATAAGCAATTGAATAAGTTAAAACAGAAAAGAATTCTGACAAACCAATTAAATTGATAGTATTATCAGTCAATAAAAAAGTAGGAGCTAAATTTTATGCTGGAGAGAGGTAATAATTATTTTTATTATCATTAATATAGAAACTTAGACAATCCACCTTAAGGTACATTGATAGACACTGAAATTAGCAATGGAAAAGATGATTATTATTTGATATCTCAAAGAACAACTTAAGGAACAGTTTAGCCCACTCATTATCATGTTTTAGTAAATGATTTATTTGATGAACCTAATATCCTTAAGAAATTGTAGGCTTTGTCTTATAAATTGTGCTATATGTATTACAATTTCAGTGGAGCCATTAAAGTAATTGTTATAGTTTTAGTAGATACCTGCACCTATCCAATATGCTCATGTTTGTTCTAATTTTATAGGAGATAGATTTGATCCAAGAAAACCATAATCTTTGATTAAGCCAAATCCAATATTGAATCAGAGAAGATCACTCTTCTTCATATGAAAATTATTAAATCAAAATAAATAAATTAGAACATTTAATCATCATTATTATTATTATTATTATTATTATTATTATTATTATTATTATTATTATTATTATTATTATTATTATTTTTACTAATTCTCGTATAGTTTTTGCACATTTTACTAATTTAGATGATTTCCTTCTATACCTTTTACTCTTCTGAAGATCTTTGCCTATTCATATAATTTTGAGACGTCTTGTTCATCTTCATCATCATCATCTTCCTCATCCACAATTTATTTTTTAATTTATGCTCTTTTTGACAATTTTAAGTATTTGTTCACTGTATCTTCTGAACCTTGGCTTGCCTAAATAACTTATACTCCCTATTCTGATCTGAATCTATCTAATCTCTCATAACATAATGGGGCCAAGTTGTATCTACCACTCTCATCCATTTCATCCAGAATATCAATTGGAATATTTCTTTATTATCATTAAATCTATTTACTTGCATTCAGTCTCTGTCACTTTATACAAGATTTGTCTATCTGGATAAGGTGAATGACCATAACGCTTTTTGTAATCTCTTTCTTTCTCTCTAATGAATTCTGGATCCTCTGGAAATGATTAATATCTCGATTATGATCTCTCTTCAATCATTTGTGAATTCCATCTCCACATTATCACAAACAACACCAAACTCACTACATATAATTCTGGACTTCTTCTCATACTATGGAATAATGGATTGTCTTCAATATATTTATTCCTTTATCGTTGAAAGTCTTTCTCCTCAAAATCTTATGTCTTTTTACGAAAATCGTAGTAAAATTAAGCATTTGGATTTATAGGTCTCTATTGCTATTGACTTTATTATTAAGAATATTAGGTTCTTGTTTCTTAATTCTACTATCTCCCACTAGATTATTGTTATTAATCAATCAAAATCCTATCATATTTCTTTCTCTCATTCTCATCTGATAAAGTATTATATGCTGCTACAATTGTTTTAAACAATTCCTATTATTTAAATTAATTTATACTTAGTCACTCTCTTTAGCATTTGGTGAATCAGGATGGTGCTGTTTGGCTAAAATATGAAATTGTTTTTTTATTTCCTCATTAGTAGCATCTCTACGAACTCCCAGTAATTAATAAAAATTTTGAGTTGAGAATCTACATTTACTAAATATTCTTAACATAAAATTAATAAATTAATCATAAAATGAAAATCAAAAACTTTATGAAACTCAAAACTCATAAAAAATTAAATTGTTATCATATCAACAGTCAATAGAAAAATAAAACGATATGAAAATATATCAATAAATATCCTAAAAATATTAAAAACTTTTCTAAATAAAAGGAAACTCTAAAAAAAGTGAAAAAAATCATGAAATTTAATAAATTATAAATAGAATTAGGTATGGATGAAAAAGATTTAAACTGATTTATTTAGGAAAAAATCAATAAGATAAAACACTAGAATAGACAAATACTAAAAAATTATAGTAAAAAGAAGAAATAAGACTAAGGGTGAATCAGAATATATATAAAATTAAAATTAAAAAAAAACCAAAAAATAACTATCTAAATAAAGGTTATAAATAGAAAAGGATCTTTTAATAATCCAAAAAATTCTAATCAAAGATAAATAAGTTTTCAAGTTTAAAAAAATGAGAAAATTTTTTGTCAAAAAGTTAATTTAATTATGCTATGTAAATAATCATATTTAATCTGTATTATCTTGTTTTTATTTTATTAAAATCTTAAGATTATTTTTATTTAATTGATTGTTTTTATAGGAAGCAATAATATAAGAGATTTACATTATAAATATAAATATAATATTATCTAATAGTATAAATTAACTTTTCAAATATTTTAAGAATATGATTGCCATTCTTTAAACTTAGGATTCTATTGCAATTTTTAAATATGATATTTTGTTAGCTACTATTTATTTTATTCAAATTCCACTACAGACTATTTTATATAACTTTGTTCATATATAATTTTCTATTTAGCACTTTATCTTATTCTAAAGCTATATATTATTTTACAGTGAAAGTTATAATATTACAACCAGGCAGATTGATAAAAATACTAAAATTCCAACAATAATCTCATTCTATTGTTCTTCAAAGTAGAAAAAATATGACATCTAAAAATATTGAGGTTTGATGATTTAAATTATTTAATAAATGTAGGATTAAATTTTTGTTTAATCTTTAATAATTTTAGAGTTTGGCGGGACTGGTATTTAAATTATTATACATAATTTTTTGTTGATTATTAGATTAATTTATAATAATTTCTATAAAACTCGAGTGATGATTAAGTTATACTTTTGTCATTTTTTATTAAAGTATTACATTAAATAGGACCTAATTTAAGTTATTAAAAAATATAATTGTAATTTATTTTTAGAATCTATTCAAAAATTCTCAAATCCTTAAAATAAATTACAATTATATTAACTCTCAATAATAATTAAGACTTTATCAATTATATATATTATATGAAACTTAATAAAATTGGATAGGCTATTTTCTTAAATAAAGAAAGAAGTATACATTGATAAGAAACTCTAATCTTAATTAAATTCACCTTTAATTAAGATAATTAATTTTCTCAAATATTTATTAGATAAAATCTTTATAAATAGAGGAAGAGATCAATAAATTAATTAAATGAAGTCTTAATTATGAATCCTAAAAATTTATCATGTTATTTTTATTAATAGTATTTTTTATGGAAGTATTCAAATATTCTACTATTATTATAATAGTTATTTTCATATACATAATATGATTTAGATAACATAGATTTTATTACTTGAAAAAAGATTTTTAAAATTAATTTAATGTTCTAAGTACTCTTTGTAATTACCATTCTATATTCTAATAAAATAAGATCAAAAATAATCTAGAATCAATTCAAGAATAAAAATCTCTAATGAAAGGTTAGGTTTTTAGGATATGAATTACTAGATTATTAGTAATCTTATTATTTGATAGTCTGAAAATAAAGAATAAGTATAAATTGATATTTATGATAATTTTAAAAATTCAAATCTCTATATAAGTTACAAACAATTTCATCTCCAGTAAAGTATTTTAGGTAGGGAATAGTCAATTGTCCAAATGAATATTTGGAATAGTCATAAAAAATGGGTTATTATTTATGGGACAATATAAAAAGGATAGTGAGGTAAATTTAACACATGTTGAATATTATCCAAAAAAGAATTTTCTTTTGATATTTTCTAGATTAAATGCCTACTGTCTTTCCTTATTTTATTAAGTGTGTGACTTAATCATTCAAACAATTTCAATATGCAGTGTAATCAAAGCCGTTCTTCCAATATCAAGTACTGGGATTAGTTTCAGCATCCAACCAAACTATACCATATTTTCCATATATGAGTTCTCTCTCTTTTTAGATTTAATGCATAAATAGAGATAAAGAGATTCTAAAAAGTTGTGATATTGGAGAAATCTAAATTTAGATGAATTATTTACTTTGCATATGAAGTTATCTGTATCGAGTATATAATTCAACTGCTTCAACATATTTAATATTTGTAAATAGTATTTGGATCAATGGGAACTTAAATTTTATATCTCTGGATAATAGAAAACTAATGTATTATTGAAACAGTTAAAATTATTAAAGGTATCAATATAAAGGTATATGATTGTGATTAAACAACAGATGATGCAAAGATTAATGATAGTATATTATATTGTAAAAAATTAATTGATGAAATCATATAATAATGCATCTTTAGTGAAAGTTAAACAAAATAGTTCCAAATTTATCTAAACAAGTCCAAGTCAACTCAGCTATTCTTTTTCCTTGATTCTTTTTTACAAACAAGGCCATTATAATGAACCACAAGATCAGTATTCGGACAGCATTAAGAAATGGACACATTTGTTATTTTAATTATGAACCTTTAATTTCTAAAATTAGTTAAAAATAATAATTTTATGGACTGCAAGTAGCCTAATTTGTATACCAATCTATATATCTTCTATTTAGGATAAATTTTGTTAAAAATGACAAAACAAATTAATCTACTTTGTATATCTATTATATAAATATTTCTAGTTCAATAGAAAAATAAATAGAATGGAAAAACAAACAAAATCTTATTTGATGTATTAAGTCATATCTAATAATCATAATTAGAAATTCTTGTTTTATTTGAATTAAACATTTTATAATAATGAAATAACATGCTAATAACTATTTTGTCAAGAAAATAGCCAAGCCAATTTCATAAGTGAGTACTAATTCAGCAGTTACAAGATCAAATGAATAAAAGCCAATATCCTATTTAACTTTTACAAATAGTAAACATAAAAGAAAGAATGAGACAGCTATTAAATTGCCAGAATTACAACCTAGCTCTATTCGTGCAAAAACTGAATAAGATTAAACAGCATAAAATGAATTAAAAAGATCTATTGTAATTATTAGTAGAAAACCAAGTGCAACATTGGCATCTCAAAGAATAAAAACTTCACCCTCTATTCAAATATGGGAGCCAGAATAGATTTCATAATAACCAGTAGAAGAAGTCTAATAAATAACTAATAAATTCTATGATGTTCTTTGTGAAGAGTTGTTATTAAATAAAAAGCAATAAAAATTCAAAGAGAAAAGAAAAATATTTTGTAAAACAATATTAAATGAATATGATAAATTTTAAGAGAAAAGTTCAAGAATGGTTAGAAAGATTATTCAACTTCTTAAAACTCATAGAGAAGGAAATGAAGAAAAAGAAATGAAAAGTAGAACTATTATTGAAACTAAAATGGCTAAATCTAGTCTATTCTTTCATGCATAAACTTTATATTTACCTGAATAACATCAATTTAATTAGAAAGAACTCCTCTTTCAATAATAATTATCAGCAATACCAAAAAGACATACAAAATATAGTTCATAACTTACATTAACGTAATAAGCTGAATCTTTAAAACCAATTAAGACTTTGATTGAAGAAATTAAAGAAAAATAATAAGATCCTATTAAATAAGCTTCAATATGTCTTGTATAACCTAAACATCCATCAAATAATAAGAAAAAAATAAAATTAATTATTGAATGTCCAGAAGAGTAAAAATCTAATAAATTTGAATTTTTTATACCAGATTATATGGAGTAAGATTAAATAGTTTCAGTGTAATTATTAAATGATTAAATTGAATCCAAAGATACTAAAAAGTCAAATATTTATTCAATGGTTTCAAAAAATATGTTTAGCAAGTACTTTTAAGTAAATAAATTAGAAAAATGAATTAAATTTAGAATGTGAGTGAAACAACCATGGAAGAATTTAATTCTGATAAAGCAACTTAATTCACAAGATATTATTTGTAAAATTATGCTTTAAAATGTATCAATTAAAAGAAAATCAAAGACAAAAAAGACTCAGAATCTCAATTGAACATAATGAAATAAGATTCAAAATAAGAATAATAGATCTTTCTATCCAAACAACTTCTCGATTGTTCTATTACAGTAATTATAATTTTTATTTAAGAAAGACTTATAGGCAACTTAATTTCTTGAAATTAATAGCTTTATTTATAGATGTATTGAACCATATGATTCATAAGATTCTAGTATGATATCTGATGATAGTTTAATTGATGATAAAAGCTTTATTGACTCTTCTATAGATTAAGGAATTAAACTCAAATTCCTAATATCATCAAAATTAATTAATCCAAGTATAATTAAAGATAAATTCATCAAATTTATGATATCAACTATCTCAGATGAATCTAAAAATATTTTACTTCATCAAGAAATAATGGCCTTTGCAAATTAAATAGAAGAAGTTATTCATATAGATTATGATTTACCTTAATAACCACGTAAATTAAAAGCATTATTTTTTTTAGATTTGGAAGCTCTAAATCGACTCTTCCTTCGAATTAATAAATATGATAGAAAGCAATTTCTTTAATCTTTTTTTAAGAAATTTGAAAATATTTGTATTGGATTATTTGAAGATTGCTATAAACATTAATTAAATAAAAAAGAGAAAATATTTGTTAAATTATGTTTTCAATAATAAGGTAATAGTTTAACTGATAATACATCAATAAAATATTCCAATATGTTGAAATCTAGACATCATCGTGAAACTACAACAGAAACTGTTCCAAAATAACAGACAAACTTAATGATATTATCTCTGCCTCCAGTTACAATAAAAAGTAGATCAGAATCTCCTTCTAATTTTGTAATTATTTAAATTCTATTATTAAGAGTGAACCTAGAACTTAGAAAAAGGGTATATAAAATTAATAAGTACTATTAAAAAATATGTAAAGAAGTAAATAATATATTCTATTAATTATTTTTAGAAGAGTCACAAAGATTCTTACAAATTTAAACTTCATCCAAATTTTAAATACAGCAATAAGCTTCTAAATAATAAGTCTTAGTTGTGGAAGGGAAAGAATAATCAAAAATTTAGAAGGTTAAATTGACTTAATTTTAAAATAATCTTAAATAATTATCAATGGATCCATAATCATTATTATATAGAAATAAGATGATTGAGAACACAAAAAATGTTGTTAAAAGTTTAGAAGAAAGAATATTTCTAATGGTTGAAGAACATAAACTTTTAGATTTGAAAGAAATTCTTAAATTAGAAACATCAATTGATGTCAATTATCAAAATGATGAAGGTAACACAATGCTAATTTCAGCATCAAAATGTGGAGCAGTATTAATTGTAGAATTCTTACTTAAAAATGGTGCTGATGCTTCAATTTAAAATGTATAATTTATTTTAACAATTTTTAGTATAATGGGTTAACAGCCATGGATATGGCATTAAAAAATTATTAATTCTAAACAGCAGATATTATATATAAGTATCTTTATCCAGATAATAAAAATTTATGAGCATATTTGATTTTATGTAAATATATCACTTTGGAGTCAGATATTTAGCTTTAGAATATATCTTAATTGGTTATAAGAAAGACTGATATTATTAATGTTTAATTGTTCCACTAGCTATCAATGAAGTTAAAAGCTATTCTGAACGTGCACATGTTAATAATAATAAAGCATTCCTCACACTTTAATTACTTTATTTTTTCAATTTTAAAATCTCATTTAATGCCAATTCCTCTTTCTCTTATGTTTAATACCTTTTTTATTTTTTTGGGAATATGAATTATTCATTTTATTACAATTTCTTATCTCCTGAACAGACTTAAACATAATCTATTGGTTTTAGAGTTAAACGTTCAATAGATTTGTTGTTTTGCTTTTTGATTGAATAAATGGATTGTTTAATATGTTCAGTATTATTACTACAACTTCCATCATCAAATTTTCTATTTTCTGGAGCATACTATGATCTTCTTAATTTATAATTTTTTCTTTATCCTTATAATTCTATACTACTACTTAATTAATCAACTAGTTAAGATTATTTGTCATCTTCCTTAAATTTATTATCTACTTATTTGAGGATAGTATTTTTTTATGCATGATAACTTTAATGTAAATTAATGTCAGCTTTAAAACTATCTTCTATTGTATATTAAGTCAAAGATCTTAAATTTTATTAATCTTTTGTTATTTTTTATTTAGAATGTTTAAAATTATTTGAATCATCTTATTATTCAAGTATAATTTAATTTTTTTTAATATCATTAACTTAATTGTAAATAAGAGTGTTTAAATTTTTAATTCTATTTTTTAATTTTTATTATCTATCTGCTGCCCTTAATTTTTCATGTTCACAAAAAGAATCATTTTTGTTGAGTCTTTTCATTGTTTATTAAAAAGACTTATTTCTCTCACTATCATTTGAATTTAAACTATTAATCATACTAATTTTATCATTTTCTATATTAATTTACGTTAAATTAGGTTATATTTTTTATTATTTAATTGTTTTGATTTAATTTTCTTATAAATTACATTCTTTTAGTTTTTAGATTTATAAATTAAACAATTATTTCAATTTATCTTTTGGATCATAATTTTCTTCAAATAATTATACATCTTAATAATATTTTTTAATTGTTTATTGAATTGATAGATTTCTTTACATTAATTTATTAAATCTATATTCAAAAGTATTTGATAATGTGTCATAATTTATAATTGGTTGAATTAATTGGGGATTAATTAATTGAAATTAAGGGACATCATGAATTGAAGAAATTGATATTTCTCTAAATGGTCTGGTGTTTATTTTCATTTCAAAATGTTTGAGATTGAGAATCTAATATGGTTATTAATATTCAGGGTTTCTCTGATTGAAATACTTTGATTGTAAAAGCGAGATATAATCAAAATCAAGTTTGCAGTTAAATATTTTTGGCTACAGAGGTTCTTCTGAAAGTCGAATAGAGAGAGAGGTGACTAATCGTAACTATTATAGCGATTCACTTCTACCCTTTATTATTTAAAGACTTCTTCAAGTGTTATTCCTCCATAATTTATTTACTTTAAACATTGAGTAAATTTCAAATGATCTCTTATTTGTAAAGCTGAATTAACAGGAAAATACATTTTATAATAGGCAAATGATAAATTTACTATTTAAATGAAAGAATTCTAAAATTATTCTAAATCTTATTAAGGCCATCTCTCAGTTTTTAATATTGCATTTTCAACTTTTTGATTGACTTAGTCTATTTCCATAATTAGCTCATTTTAATCATTTAGTTACATTTTAGATAAGAGAATCAAATGTTCTCTTTTAATGAATAGTGATACAATCTTATTTTTCATATGGTTATTTTCGATTGTAAAATTTTATATAAAAATATAATTTATATAATTCATATTTTCTAAATTTTCTTATCATTTACAATAAAGTTAGAATCCTCATTAATATAAAGAATAATATCATTAATAGATTTTGCAAAGTCAATCAATATATCAAAATCAGAAATTACTCTAGACATCTTGACATCCTAATCATAAATGAGTTTATAAGTAGATTCTATTGCTAATTATTAATTTTCCATATTCTTATCTCCAATATTATAAAAATATTTTAATGGTATATGTTAATCCACTTTATGAAATTTATCATTAATAATTCCATTTTCTGTACTCAAAAGATCACAAATAACCTTTATTTTTTATAAAATGTTACTTAAGCTTATATTTCCCAATTCCTCTCTAATCCTACAACATATATTCCACTAATTTATTATGGTTCATCATTTAATTAATTAATATTGATCCCTTTTTCTAATAATGATTATTTGGCTACAATAATTTCATTATGTTATTTATTGTGATGTAAACCAAGTAATTGAGGATAAATAGTTGTATATTCAAATAAGTTAAATGAATTCTTAATTGGACATGTCTTACCTATGATCAATATTGGATATTTGGACTATGTTGCCCTTGCTTAAATATAACTAAATTTTGAGATAATATTAATATCATATTTGATATTGGAGTTAAATTCAATTGAATTAGAAATGAACTATTTTGCATTCTAAATTTCTTTATATTTATATGCTACTCTTTAATCTAAAATGACATTTTTGAATTATTTCCACATAATATTATTATATGAATAATTGAATTTAATAGATTAAAAATTTATTAAGTAAGTTTCTAACTATTCTTCAATATTCAAAACGAAAAAGATATCATCAGAATTATTAAATGAATTAGTTTTGTTAGGTTGAGTAGAATATAAACAAAGATATTCTAAAATAATTTGAAGGTTAATTAAGGAATTATTGTAAGATAAATGTCAAAAATAATTAAGATCATTAAACTTAATTAGTTTCTTAAGAATTAGAAATTTATATTCCATCGTCAAATTATAAGTTATTGATAAAATCAGAAGATGTTGAAATCCAAAATAATCTTATAGATTTAAGTCAAGCAAGGGAATTTAAATAGAACATTCATAAATTGAATCATAAATTTTGTTTAAATGCTTACATTAATAGGAGATATATTTCCAACTTAATTTAAAAATTAAGTTAGCTATGAACTGTTAGATGAATTTGAATTTTTGGATTAGATTAGAAATTTTGATATTGCTTAAATGAAATATAATTCTACAATTTAAATTTAGATTTATGAGTATTGATTTAATAATGTGATTAAATAAGTGGAACCAAAAAAAATAGAAATATTAACGTTTTCTGAATATAAGATGAAATTAAAATAAAAAACAACCATAACTAAAACTTCTAGTAAGTAAGAAATTAGTTAAAAGATATAAAAATCATTTCAATCTAATTAAAGGAAAATTAATAGGTTTAACAAATAATTTAAATTTCTCTTTTCATAAGTTTAATTTTTCATCTTTATCTTATAATAAAATGATACATATTCATTAAAAAAATCTAAATATTGTAGAAGCAATATATGTTTATTTTTTATAATAATAACTTAATATTAATAATTTACTCGTTAAATGAATTTAGATTAAGCATTCACATTTGGTTAAGATTGTTATAATCAAGATTAAATAAATCCATCTAAGCATCCTAAAATTAGTAAAAAATCACCATTTTATTCAATTGTAAAACCAACAACGTATTTTTTGTTAAAATAAAAAAGATCTTAAAAAAATTATAGAATTAAGGATACATCTGTTTAATAATTAGCATAGACAATATAAAAAAATACAAATAAGGAGAATTATAATTCTCATTAATGTAATGTTGTGTTACCTAAACATACACGTAATCCTACAGATCTTAATTTGATAAGATTTGACACATCCCCAAATTCTTAATTAGAAATTTCAAACAATTCAAGAGGAAATAATTCAAAATAAGAAAATTAACGAAGATTATCATTCAATACACCTAATCAAACTATTAGAACTTCATTACCACCTGTTAATAATAATGAAAAATATAAAAAGATAGCCATATAAATGAAGGAACTCATTTAATAATAGAAATATAACTATGAAATTGGAGATTATGAATAATTAGAGTTTATTTTTTAAAAGCTCAATTTACTATGTGATTAATTATGATATTTATATTTATATATATTTATTAATTAATTATTTAACAAAAAAAGAATGAATAATGCATAATTTGCATAAAAATTATTGAAATATGAAGGAAGACTTTATTCAAGAAATTTGGAAATGTAAATGTAAACCTTACAAGAAGTAAAATAAGAATTAAATGGATAATATAATCATCAAAGTCTAATGAATATGTTAGCTAAATACTTCTCATATACAAGTATTTTAGTTCAAAGAATCAAAATTATTGAAATTATATAATAAAAATTCCCTATTCTTGTAAATCATGTATAAGATTGGAAATAAATAGTTGAATTTCTATAATAAGAATGTTTTAGTAGTGATCATTAAGTAAATATATGATTTTGATTTTTAAGTTTAGAATGTTATCTCTCCATGCCTTAAATTCTATAGTCCCAGTCTTGAAAGAGCAATATAACACTTTTCATATAGGAATTTTTGATATATTTATCAATGCTAGCTATTAGAAAGAATTATATATTGCTAGTCTCACATTATTAAATTCAGTCAGACTTCATCATTCATACTCATTTATGAATAAAATAGCTTAACTTCCTGAAATTAAAATATTTAAAACCAAAAAGCTTACAATATTACTCAAATGCACATTAATGGCCAGAGCATAATTTTGTAACATATTTTGGTTTTATTTTTAATAGGTTTATTTGAATAACCGATTAGTGAATTATTAGCAATTGTAAGACAATAGATATAATCAGTTCCTATGTCAAAAGAAGTATTACATCTTTTATATAATTATCTTAAAATTGCATCACATTTTAAAGACTAAGAATCTTTTATCCTTAAAATCTTAACATAAGAAGAAACTATAAATTGTATAGGATAATGTTCTGAAAAGATTTAAGAACTTTTTAGATTAAGTTACAAACATTATAAATTAGAATTTAAAATAGTATATCTAATTTATGGAGATCAATATTCTAAAAAAAATATAATAGAATCTTTATTATAATTTGATAATTTATACAATTACACTCTAAATTTATCGACAGAAGACTTAATATCTTTTTAGGACTTGCTTTTTTATTCATATGACTTTGCTTGTAATGAAATAGTCAAAACTGTTAGTGTTTAAACTGAATAAAAATTAATCTAAGTTTTAATTAAATTAGATCATTTAATAGGATAATTATTTGAAAAATAAATTAATTTAAGTAAAAAACCTTTTTCATCATCTTAAAAATGTTTGAATAAATTATTATTACTTTCTGTTTAATTACTATCTGCTCAAATTACATTCACTGAATTTAAAGGAACCAATAGTTTAACTTATATTCTAAGTTTACTTATTAAAAATTAAAATACTTATCTGATGTTATAATCAATAAAGTTATTATTTTCAATTAATTAAGTTGATTAAGCAAATTATTTAGCTTCTTAAATATAGAGTTAAAATCCTTATACTTAAGTATTTTTGAGTTATCTTAAATCTTTATAAAATTATGAAGAATTTACATATTGGAATGATTTTTAAATTAATTCAACATAATATTTAATTAGATAAGAAATTTATGACTATTATTAAGAATTTGATAAATGTTTATAAGAAATTTAAGAAATTGAAATTGATTAAACTATGGCTATGGAATTATTTTAAAAAATTACAAATCTACTAAACAAAACTACAATTTTAAGTGCAAAAATTGAGTTCTTTTCAAATAGAGCTTATGCAGAAGATGCTACATTTTTTTAATTCATCATTTTAGATAAAATAAATTTATGTTTGTAAAGAAATTATCTTGATTTGGAAATTGAATCTTTAAATTATGAGAATTCTAATCTTATCATTCAAAAACTAATTGAATATAACAAAAGTTTTTTTATTAAAAAATTCTTACCAAATTTAAGAAAAGATAAATTAAAAGAGTTTATCAAATAAATGAGAAATTCTATTTACAATTATCCAAGAATTTTATTATAATTAATCTAAACACCAAATTTAGATATATAATGTACACAAGTAGAATAGTAAGGATCGCATACACTTTTAAGATTTTCAGCTCATCTAATCTCAAAAGAAAAGAAAACAAATTGTTAATTGTTTTTAATATACTCTGTTAATAATTATTAAGAAATTCAAGTTGAAATGATTATGAAAGAATAAAAATGTAAATAAATTAAAAATTATATATAGCACTTTTGAATATTGTTGTAGAGGGTAATTCAAATATTTAATATAAATTAATTTGCAAATATTAAGGCATTTTAGTCCTATAAACAGAAGTTTAAAATATGAATATCATTTGTATATAAAATTGAATATTTTAAGAATTCTATAAAGAATCTTTTTAATATACATTTTAATATTTTATAAGTTAATTAATAGATATAATTATAAATCTTTATCAATTATTAAGATTATTTTAATTGTCATGTAATTCTATCACATAGATCTTCATAAATATGATATTAGAATTCTTATTTTAGTAATAAAATATTATAAATTTTGAAGCACAAAGTATTACAATTTGCATATGATATTAATTTTGTTTATATAATTTAGTTGTATTATTCAATAAATTATAAAATTAACGACTTATGAGTAATGCTGCAGAAAAAATAAGTGATCTATTCAATGTTTCATTAACAGAGCTTGAAACAAATATTGTTGCAAGTGCTGTTAAATTCAATGCATAACCTTAGCGTTTGCTTGATGTATATTATCAAATAATGTTGTTTAGGAATTATAATAATCAGTGATGGATTTCAAGTCTAAATTCTATGAATCTCTACATAACTTATTATAGTTTATTGCTTAATTCAATAATGGCAAAGATATATTAAAAATAGCTCAATAAGTTGAAACTCATATAACAAAATTCAAATAATAATAACTTCTTATTTAGATGAAAGTAGTGCTAAACAGCAAATTAAAAGCATTATTAGAAACATTTTGTGGAGAAAATCAGCAAAAATTTGAAGTATAAAAATTAATAAAAATTATAGGTCTAAAATTAAATCAAACATCTTAAAGATTCTTTGTTAAAGATAGAAACAACTCTTATGGAATAGTAATAGCTCACATCAATACCATAATAACATTTCATAACTCCTTATCCAAAAAAAAATTTCATAACAGCATCATCTTAAGATATCTTAACACCAAATTTAAGTGATGAGGCTGAAATGAGAGGAAGAGGTTTCTTTATAACACCTGAAAATAGATAATAATAGCCAAGATAATTTGATCATTCTTAATAATAATATTCATCAAATGAAAGTTATTCTGTTTAGTAAAACAAAACATTAAATTCTTTCGATAAAGAAAAATCAGAAGATAAAACAGATCTTCAAAGTCCATTTTTTGGATTATAATAAGGAAATACCTAATAACCAAAATTGTTTCAAAATGAAACTATGAATGATTATTTGTAAAGAGTTCCTGTTGATGAAAGTCCCCAAGAATCCTAATTACTTGATGAATCTAATTTAAATTCTCATTAAGAATAAATAATAAAAACAACATAATAATAATAATAATAATAATAATAATAATAATAATAATAATAATAATAATAATTATTATCTAATAAAAATCAATAAAAGTTATAATCATAACCTTAAAAATAATAAACTTAATGGTCTAATTTGCAATTACAATAAACATTTTAACATTTAGATTCTTTATAAACAACAAGAACAGAGTAATTGGAAACTTAAGTAAGAGTATCAACTCCAAAAGAAAATTAAGTCTAAAATCGAAATTAATCAGTTGAACCAAATATTAGAGATATTTCATAGTCACCTAATGGAAAGAGACTAATATAAACATCAAAATCAAAAGAACCATTTTCAAGATGTCGATCATCATTAGAAACAACAAACCTACTTCAGAAATTAAACTCTGTAGAGGCTTCAAAGTCAACCAATAAGCTTAATAAATCAAAATCAAATAAAGAAAATTAATCTTAACCTATTGTTAAATGTTCAAAACCTAGTAAACCTCAAATTACAGTTTCAAAGCAAAAAAATTAAATCGTTACTAAACCTCAGTCATAGATAAACTTAGTTAAAAAATAAAAGTAAAATTGATTCATTCGTTAATTGTTTAGTATATTATAAAGATTTAAAATAATTTATATAACTTCATTTCAAATTTTTAATTTCTAAATTAATTTTTAAAGATGAAACATAAAAAAAGCACTTTTCAATTGATATTAGAGACAAGAATATTGTATATGTTTTAAATAGCTTTAGAAGAGATATATAATGAAATAAAGAGTAATGAAAATTTAAATATTCTAATGCTTTAGTCTAAAATATCAAAATAATAATAATATAGAAAATTTGAAAATCTAAATGGCGTTATGATATCAAAAGTATTTTACAAACAATTATTTTTCTGTAAGATGTTAGTATATTAGTCTTTCAATATATTTTCATTAAATTTAGTTGTATAAATCTTATTATTTTTTTAACCTAATTCTCTTCAAATAGTAAAGAGTTACTTTTTCTCAAAATGTAAAAGTTAAGATAATTAATATTAATATTTTCTTCGGTTTCATGTTTTATATATTATTTCTTATTTGTTTATTTCAATTATCCTGTTACATTTAATTAATTTATATGCTACCTAATTTAATTAAACCGGACGTAAAACCAAGATCATTTTCTCTTAACGTAGATTAATATGGAATAAAATAAAAAGGTAAAAGGAATACATCCCATTACTCTTATAAAATTGTAGAAAAATTACATTCTTAACCTACATCTAATGGAAATATAAATATAAATCAATAAAAGGAAATATAAGGATCATTAATTATTATTATAGGGAATGTTGAATCCTTTTTAAAAGAGATAGCATCGAATCATAAATACTAATAATTTTTAAAGTTCAAAGATTTTCTAAATGACAAATAGGTTACTTAATTTTTTCATTATATGTCGAATTTTCTAGTAAATTTATAGAGCTCTATTTTTGAACATCATTATTGTACTTTCTCATTAAATAATAAAGTAATTGATATTGAAACTGCAGATAGTAAAACAGTTTATGAAGTTATTACAGAATTTTTACATCGTAATCAAAAAAACCATGAAAACCTATATATTTATGGAGGAGATTTTTAATTAATTCATAAATCAGAGTTTAAATAAATTATATATATTTCTGGATAAAGAATTGAAAAATAAATTAATAAAGAAATCAAAATGAATGAAAAAATATTTAGATTTAAGACATAATTATAAAATTAATAAAATGATATTAATTCAGATGATGTTTTAATAGATCATAGAGTTTATTAAATTGGAATGCATAAAAAGAATAAAGAGATTAAATAATATTTATAATAATAAAATATTGAAAAACGAGAGTTTGTTTTAAAATAAGGTATGAATTTATTTAATATATATAGGAAAATCAAAAGAATTATAAATAAAGAAAATTAGTAGTAGTTAAAAAGAGAAAAAAATAGATTTAGCTTAAGAATTACCATAAATATGTGATTAAATTTATGAAAAGTTTAAAAGGTTATTTCATATAGAATATATAAGTGTAGAAAGAGATGTATTTTCTTAATTTCTATTACTTTGTGAACTCAGTATTTATTATTCCAAAAATCTCACTTTATAATAATAAATATCTAGATTAAATGATGATAATGAGAAATTTAGATTACTTATAAATAATGTACTTTATTTTGAATTTAAGATTCTAAAGAGTATGAATCTAAATTTATAAAAATTATAAAATAGTGTAACACAAACATTATTGAAATTTATCAATTAAGATACTAAATGTTAAGATACTATTAATAAAATATATTGGAATGCATTTTTAAGATTCAAAACATTTTATATAGATTAAAAATGGACAACTAGCGATTTTAGATACTTTTTACTATTACTTAATGAAGAATCTCCACTAACTTTATAGATTTACTTGTAACTACCTTTAAGAGAGTTATCCAAAACAATTTTCTCACTTAATGAAGACTTACTATAATAAATAGTATGGTAAATTTTATATACTAAATAATAATGATTATTATAAAAACCAAGATATTTTTACTACGCATTAAAATAATCATTAATAGCTTTCATTTTATATTTCATATCTAACAATTAAAAATTATTCCTAATGTTTTCTACATCTCCTGGATTCAAGTTAACAACTATGACTCCTTTGAGTATTCATCACAAAATAGAAATTATTGAAGATGAACCTGATGATTTAGAATTGGAACATTCTAAAATATCCTTTAATGAAAATCTCATAGTTTGTACATACAAACCATGGTAGAGTGTTACAATGATTACAAAGACAATTTTAAAGTTAAAAGGATAGCCTAATACACATTGGATAAATCCAAGTCTTAGAACTGAAGAAATTAAGAGATCAACCTCTATATTGAGACACTCATCATCTCCAACTAGAATTTCATCAATATTCTTTTGAACTTCTTTATATATATATTAACTTTAAATCAAATAAAACACTTTCATATTGAGACCTAACAAAAAATAACGAATATTATTATCATGTTTATGATAAATCCTACAAATATAATTATTTAATAATCATCATAAAATTATAAATAGTTAATATTTTTCGATTAAAAAATATTAATCAAAATAGTTTATTAAAAGCTGTAAATGAATATAAAATTTGAATAAAATAAAATCAAATTTAAACATTATATATATTCATTCTTCTACTTCATTCAATTTATTCTTTAAATTCTTTACAGTAAAAACTACTTATGATTTATTAGGATATTTAATCTTTTAAAGTTTCCTGAATTATTGAGAAATTCTTATCAGTGTTCAAAGACTTTAGTAAATTTTGTCTAATTTATTTATTGTAATACTTTATCTAAAAAGATTAAATAAATATTATATATAAATAATATTAGAAATAATAATAATGAATTACGTTTTTATTATTTCAATATTTTTATTAATTATTAAAATTAAATATTCATTAACGATAAGTATTTCATTAAAAAATTAAATTTTTTTATGAATTTATTTACATAAAGACAATGCTTTAATAGAAAAATCTACATAGTTTTTTATTTTCTAATTTTTAATAAAACAGAATTAATGGGTTTATGTTATTTTTAAATCATAAAATAATTAATTTTGCATTAATTATTATTCTTACATTTAGAATAAAATCCTTATTTTAAGATATCAATTGAAATAAATAATTTGAATATTTTCAGATTTTTTTTTGTATTAAAAAATCATGTTTGTTTTGAATCAGTTGGATTGTTTTGTTTGATATATATAAACCAAAATATAATATGAAAATTAACCTTATGATAATCACTAAATCAGAAAGTTTATTGATAATATGATGGATTAAAAAGGATGAAGAAACTTTTGAATAAATTATAACAATTTTGATTTCAATATCTCATTTGCATTCCTGGGGGCATCATATTATAAGACATAGGTTAATAAGCTCCTTATGGAGGAAGGATCAACGTAGGTTAGGGCATGTATTAGGTCCTTGTGCCACTCAATCCTAAACTATCAATAGTTTCTACAAACGCAGGAGTTAGTAAGCCTTAAAATACTGAAGAGTGTGTAATGAGTAATCTTTTAATAGTGTCTTTAGATATAAAGGTTGGGATTATATTCTTCTAAAAAGATGCTTTCAATTAATCTACTAAATCACTCATTACAGCTCTATAATAATCTTCTCTAGCACTAATATGTTTTTTTCCTAGGGAGTGTTATTTTCTTCCACTTGGTGATGAATGTGTTAAATAAATTCCACAATATTCACAATAAAACTTAGGCATTTTAAAAAATAAATAATAATAAATATATTTAATGTTTAATGTAATAAATATATATTAAAAGTAATTAATAATATATAACTTATGCAGGGTGCAAGGTTTGTAGAGACAAATTTAGTATAGAAAATGTTAAGAGATTAAAACTATGATTTCCATAAAAAGAAATTAGATGAAATTTAAACTGAGTAATGATTTTTGTTATATGGTTAATAGTAAAAAGTCAAGATTTGTTTTTAAGGATCTACCTATCCTAAGTAAAACATAATAGATAAAAGCATAATCTTCTAGATTTTAGAAATCAGAATAAAGAAAAAGAATAGATGAATAAAATTAATATTTGAGTTCTCATATAATTGAAATATAAGATGGTAAGAACTCTTAATTCAGATCAATATGGACAGTGTAAAATTTAAGAGAGAAAGCATATGTAATTGATTTCAAGAGATTTAATAGGCTGATACTTCTTAATGGTGTGAAAACAATTTGGGTAAAAGACTTCATTCACCTTTAAGAAGGAAATAGTAGTAAAAGATTGATGAAGAAAACTAAGAACTATAAAAAAGACTTGAATTAACCAAATAAATCTTATTAGAAAAGTAATAAGAACAAATATCTAAATATGAAAAGCTTCGTGATCATATGACTCGAGTATAAAAGACTTATAAAGTTAGATAAAATCTAAGGGACCTAATTCTCCAATGATGAATACTCATTTTCCATCATTAAAGAGTAAAAGCACTACTCAATGAATAAACAAGCCACATTAAACTGATTCACTTATACAAAATAGTAAAATGAATGATTTGTTAAAGTCTGAAATCAATATTAGCAAAATATCTAAAATAGAATGAATTATATTTCTATTCAATTATTAATATAATTTATTTACATATATCTTAGAGTATAACAATAAATGAGTGGATTTACACATTATAAGATAGAAACTATAGAATAAAGAGGAGAAGTATATCCTTCATAGAGAAGTATATAATAATATGGGAACACATAAATTAAGTGAATAATAATAATATTTAATAGGAATGAGGAGTATCGAATTTAGGTTAGTTCTCCAGTCACAGAACAAATAGTAATAACCGATTAATCATCTTTTTAGAAAATAATTGAAGCAAAAGAAAGAGGTAAATGTATTCGTTATAATAAAGAAATAACAAATCTTAGAGAAAGTGTAAAGTCGTTAAATAATCAAATATAAGATTAATTGAAGGAATTAGAAATTTGGAAGAATAAATATAGATAACTATAATCTGAAAAAGGTTTGAGTAGAATAACAACGACTGGTTAATAATAAAATGATTGGGAAGTATAATAATTGAGAGAGGAAGTAAATAAATTAAGACAAGAGAATAATGAATATAAATTTAAATTAGAGAGAAATGTAAATGTAAATGTAGTTTCAAATGATTTTGAAATGAATTAATTGAAACAATAAATAAAATCTTTAGAAGAATAATTAAGATCTAAATAATAATCATTTACTTAATATACATCATATAATAATAATTCATAAGAAATAAATTAATTAAAAGATTAAATTAGAATATTAACATAAGAAAATGAAGATCTTATTAAAGCTAAGAATTTACTCAATTAATAATTTTAATAATCTTAAATATAATGGTAATAAAGTGCTTTTAGAAGTACTTAAAATTAGGAATTTGATTAATCTAAAGCACTTTAAAATGAGAGGGATGATTTAAAAAGAAAATTAAAAGTCTAAGAAGATCGAATTGTAGAATTATAATAAGAAATTTAAAGATTAAATTTTAATTGTGATTCATATATTTAAGAAATATAATAATCATAATTAAGATTAACTTCAAAGAATTAAAATTCAGAAATTGAGGGTTATTTGAAAAGGATTTCAGCTTTATAACATGAAGTTTTGGTATGGTAAGATCGTTATAAAGCTAAAGAAGTTTAAGAATTATCATATGCTTAAGAATAAAAAGTAACATAAAAGGATAATCAGATATTATTTTTATAAGATAGAATAAAATAATATGAAACTTAAATGGATTAATTAAGATTAGAGATTGATAAATAAAGAAAAGATTTTGATGGATATAGAGCTACTTATGAAAGTAGAAGAACAGATTAAGGAGAAGTAGAAAGTTTGAAAAGAAAGATTGCAGAAATGGAATCAGATATTTAAATTTTAATTGCTGATTTATAAGAAAGAGATTAAAGAATAAGTATAACATAAAATGAATATGAGGAGGAAATTAGAATTTTAAAGAATTAAAGTTAAGTTTAATATTAAAGTGAAATTAATAAATTAAAAGAAGAAAGAGAAAAATATAGAATTGATTATGAAAGATTGTCAAATGATTATATGAATATTTAAAGATAAAGTGAATAATATAAGAGTAATTCTTATGAAGTTGATTCTTTAAAATAAAGAATTATTGAATTAGAATAGTAATTAAGAAATACTACAAATCAATATTAATCTTTATAAGGTTAATATTCTTAACTATAAATTTAATCATAATAATAATAATAATCTTAATTTTCAGTAATTAACATTAGAGAAGACTATTAAAAATTATAATCTTAATATACTTTGCTTTAATAAGAAAATATGTAACTTAAATAATAGAAATAATAAATTGAGAGTAATTCTTATTAATATAAAAATATTTAAAGTGATTATTAAGCTCTTTAAGACAGATACAATTAATCATTAAATGAAATCTAATAATTAAATGAATAAATAAGGAAATATAGAAATGAATATGATTCACTTAATTAAAATTATATTTAATTTTAAAGAGATAGTGAAATCAAATTTTCTCAAACTAATAATAAAGAATTAGAAATTATGAAATCTCGAATTTCTTAATATGAATAATAAATTTAATAATTAAGAAATTAATTATCTAGCTAAGAAAGCTAATTGGAATAATAATTTAAAGAGAGATTGAGAGTTGAAATGTATTAAATTGAACAGAAAGTAAATAGTCAAGGTATGATTGAATACTAATAATTATAAAGTAAATATAATTAATTAAAGACTTAATATGATTAATTATAATATAGATATTAAGAATAAAGTAATGAAGTTATGGTGATTAAAGAAAAGAGCACAAGGGAAAGTTAATTTGAAACTTAAAGTTTAAAGGATCAATTATAATAGTATAAATAGACTAATATGTAATTGAATTAGGATATATCAATTTTAAAAGAATAAATTCAAAAATATAGAATGGATGTTGAATAAGCAAATTAAAAATATGTTATGATTTAAAGGGAAAGTGAGATGAATAAATAGAATATTGGTGAAATAGAAAAATTAATGGCTAGAATAAGAGAATTAGATTTTGATTGTCAATAAAAAAATCAATAAATAAATAAATTATAAATGGAAATGAGAAATTAAGAAATTGGAATAAGAAATGAATTAGAATAGTAATTTATTTCTAGATTGATGATTGAAAGATAAAATTTAGAGAGTAAATTATAAACATAAAGTTAAGGTGAGACTCAAAATTTATAATATTAATTAAAATCATTACAATAAGAATTAAATTAATATAAATAAAGATATTCATAATTGGAATAATAATTTAATTAATCTAAAATAGAAATCACTTAAATTAGATCTTAGTAATCAAATGTAAATTTAGATTAAGTTAAATAATTTTAATTAAGGATAACTGAATTAGAACATGAAAATTAAACATTAAATGTTGAAATTGAAAGACAAAGAAATATTAGAAAAGAATAAGAAAATAAAATATAAGTATTGATTACTAATATAACTAATTATGAATCAAGATTACATATATTAGAATAAGAGAATGCTAGATTAGAAACTAAAGCTAAAAAATAAATTATAATAGATAAACCTAGTGATTAATATATTGTTAATTAATTATTGGGATAACAAAGTTCATAGGTAAAAACTAATATTATTACTACTACAACTAATGTCTAAAATGTTTAAGGTAGTGGTATAGTAACTAGATAATCTGGAATGAATTAAATAAATTAAGTTCCATCCTCTTATAATCAATATTATGATTAACATAGATTGCAATCATAAAATGAAATTAAGCAATCTCAATTTTCTTAGAGAATGTAAAGTCCATAACCTTAAGTTTCAAATTATTTGAGTCCAGATAAGAAGTAATAGATTTATTTTATATTATTTATTAGTTTTTAAACTTAAAAGATTACAACTACAAAAAGTGTTAAATAAGCAATTATGTCATCAGCAAATTAATGAATGATAAATTTATAAAATCATATTTATTTTAATAATAATAAAATGATTTTCATTAACTTAATGGTTCACTAAATTTATGCTTTAATAGAAAGTTAGAGTTATATTTATGTAGTGTAAAGAAAGAGTAAAATGAATCAGTTGTTGATTGAGTTTTAGTCTTCTATCCTTAAGATCTATTCGTATTTGGAGGATCAATATGAAGGTATGCACAAATCTTCTAATTTGTTGGAATTTTTAAAGAAGGCTTAACTAACTACTTATTTTTTATTTCTCTATTTGATTAATAACATGGTTTATTAAGCAATTTTCCAAGAGAATTTCTTTCTTTCAAATAAGGAACAAAAACTTCTTCATTTCTTATAAGACTATTAATTGGATGTAAAGGTTAATGTAGACTGTCTTAAATTAAAGTCCTTCTAAATAAATTGTTTTATTAATTGCGTGGTTTCTTGAGAAGGTGTGATTTACGATAATAGATAGTTTCATTCTTCAATAAATCATTAATTTATGAACTCATTATATTATATTAATATCAAGCATTCTTTTTATTTTAAGTGCCTGTATTTCCCAATTTTATATAAGATCCAACAAATTGAATTGCTTCTTAAGTTTATTTTAATCCATTCTTCAATTTTTATTTACGAGGATCATATGGTTCTACAGTTTTAACATCTTCAGAAGGCTTTCTCATTTAAGTATTCAAAGGTTTCCCATCAATACGTACTCCAGTACCTGTGAAGACAGTTTATTATTTTTGAGCCTATAGTTCTTCTTATTAAACCAAAGAACTTGATTTTTTAACTAAATTTGGTGGAGCATCATTGAAGTCCTATACAATATCTTAAATAACATAATACCAATGGTTTCAAGAAATCAATTTCAATATCTGCTTCATTAATACAAACAGCTTTAAGAATATTGCTAGGTTCAACTTTTACAATATCGATTGAGTAATTGATATTATGGAAATTAATAGAAATAGTTTCCCCTTCAGTTAAACAGATAAAATTTCTTAGATGATTCTCTAAAATAGCTCTTGGATCCGGTAAATCTATAAATGCTGTTTCATGAGGCTAAATTCTAATCAACTATCCTCTTTCTAATCTTTTTTCATGAGATATAATAATTTAGCATCCATCAAAAAAACCCATACTCTCTAACATCCAATCTGGTATCACACAAGTACCTTCTTCTGCAGTGAACTCTAAAACACCTACATAAGTATATTTGTTGTTATCTTGAGTGGATTATAATCTAAAAATCATTGGACCTTATTATTTTGAACGGATAAGTTATTCTAAAGCAGATGCAGGAAGTAGAATTTTATTTCCTTGATTAAGATTTCTTTTTGAGAATGTAGATGCACCAAAGACTTCTAAATTGTCATGATATCCTCTATAACTTCGATGCATAAATTATAATAAAATTATCTTATAAAAATTAAAATATTTTAACTTAAACATTAAATCAATCTCCTTTTAAATGAACATAAATGGAATACTTAAGAATTTTTGGTTTAAATATTTTCTTCATAATCAACTAATAATAGAGATTATTATAGTAAAATATTATATAAATATGAAAATAATTGTGAAGTATCATTCACAAATTAAATTTTTTGTTTTGTATATTATTATTTAAATGGTATTATATACTTAATCTAATATTTTTAAGTTATATTTCTTAATTAAATACCCTAAATTTAATTTAATATACAACTAAATACTTATATAAGTTTCAACTATCCTGTTTTTTAAAATATATATCTAACACATTATTTTGTATTTTACTATATTTTTTAGCATACATATATAATTTAAGTATGTTAAATAACAATAGTTAAAATAATTTAGTTATAGAATATATAATAATTATCAAAATATCAATTTTTTTATGTTCTATTAGATTGATAATTATCATATATTTAAAATTAATATATGATAATTGTAATCAACTTCATTCAAATAATTTAAATGAATATTATATTACTAGATATTTTTAATATTAATATTATAATAACAAATTCAATATTATTTAGATAATAATTATTACTAAAGAGCATAGTGTTTAATATTTAATTGATTATCTCTTTCTTACATTTTATTTTAGTAATGGCCTCTAAGATCATCAGGTACTATTTCTTCCACTCCTTTACGATTCTCACCTTTGAATTAGAATTTAATTTCTATACCTGTTAATAAATTATATCCACAGTTTGCTCTATTATCTAAATTTTATGCTCTTACTAATTATCTTACCTAAGTCATCTCATCTTATCTTTTTAATGCTTATCCCTATTCATTCTAAGCATACTCTAAAGTCAATGGATTATAAGCTAATCCATTTAAATTTCTTTTTCCTTATGTAAATTACTCTTAATGGTATTGTCTTTTTAATTCATCCTTGATATTTATGAAAATATATACTTTCTATTGATGTAACTCATTTCTCTACCAAATCATACCTTCTCTCTCTAAATTAGCCAATCTTCTTGATTCATATTATAACTGTTTTTATTTATTTTAATATTCCCTTTGTTATTTGTCTTATGCAGCAAAATCCTTTAAAAACCTTTCTTATTCTACAAGATGTATATTAGTATTACCCTATTAAAATAAAGTAGTATTTGGAGCTGGACTATGTAGTAGAGCTTTCATGTCTTCTTTTTATGGTGTGTCAAATTCTTCAAACTTTAAATAAGTGTTTACATCTTGATTGCATAACAGCTTGTTAAGAGTTGACTTCTTTTAAATAGTCCTAAATCATTAACAATATCAATTACTCTTTCTGCCCTAGTCCTTGGTTATTGGTTATGATAGGGTTGCTGATTCTAAGGTTTGAATATTCCAGCCCCATAACTCATAGAAGAAGGTTAGTAAATATCTCTAGGGTTGTAATCTTATTATTGAGAGAAGAGCATAAGTTATTAATATTAATAAAATCTATATATTTTATAAAGTATTCATCATTTGAAAAATATAATATTAATAAAAAATATTGATATTTCTGTTGTAATTAATAAAGTCAAATTTAAGAAGTACTATTTTTTATAGCTATTGAAAATTATATAAATCTAATTAGATCTGACATATTCTATTAATTTACTAATCTAATTTAATAAATATTAATATATTTTAATCAAAAAATACTTTACAAACTAGAACCTTAATTATTATATAATGATTTGGTTGGTTAATCCAAATATTATTTTTAATTATACTTTTCTTAACTTTATTATTAGTATTCTTAATTCATAATATCATTATAAATAGAGTGTTATTAGAACATAAACTAATTATTTGATTATAATGGATTAACATAAAGTTAAACCATTTATCCTTCTCAATCTATATTGGTTCTTGTAATCCTTGGTGTTGAAGTATTAATTAATCGATAAACCTTACCAATTATGATATATGATGGATCATTCTCAATCAAATCAGGATCCAAGTAAGAATTATTAATATAATACCCTACCTTAGATAAAGTTAAATAATTACTCTAAAGAATTCAAAGTTTCGATATTTCACACTTAATATTATTGCGGTTGCGCCAAATAAATCTTGTTTGTTTGGTATTAAATCTAATCTAGGACTGGTACTTATTAATGTAAATTGCATTGTCCCTTATTAAAGTGGAGGCATTTAAAATTACTCAAGTACTTGATCATGCTTATTATTATTTGGAGATCAAATGTAAATAATTCTAAAATATTATTTTATTTTTATACTTCCAATCTATTTCTTAATCTAATTATCTCTATACTTCGAATGTGATTTGCATTTAAATTGGACTATTAAAAAGACCAATATTTTTGTCGAAAACTATATTTTTAATATTTATAAATGCCATTAAAAAATAAATAATAATAAACCCTCGAAATTTAATCTCAAATTTTAATCAATGTATTTATATAAGCATATCTTGAAAACACAACAAACAGCTTTCTATACCATACAAATTATGAATGATGAATTTTCATTGATCTCCATGCCTTTAAGATATTTAGATTCACCATAAGATTATCATTAAGAATAGAAGAAACAAAGAAATCTAAAATTGAACTATATTTTCTTAATATATTTGTTGTTTCCAACACAAATACCTTTAATCCTTCTGTTCTTTTCATACTAGATATTGCTTTATAACAGGCAATATGATTTAAATGACCTGAAATACCTTTTTTATCAAATGTTATCACTCCCTTTATATTATTTTCATCAATATATCTATGTAATATATATCATATTATCTTACTCCTCAACTATTTTTTATATCTTTTCTATTAGCCACATAACACTCATAGAGTCTTATAAATCTTTATCATTGATTATGGTTAACTTAGTAATATTATTAAAATGCATACTTTATTAATTTTTAGGTATTTACAACATTTTTCTAATTCTACTTCTCTTATTTTTCCAATTTTATTAGCATTTCCATTTGATAAACATATTAAATGAACTTCATAATTGTTATCATTTAAATAAGTAATTGTAGGTAAAAAAAACATAGCTTCATCATCAGGATGAGCAGTGACTAACAAAACTGATTTTTTTTCCTTATCTAATTATTATTATTATTACTTCTTTTTCATTTTACTATTTTTTTGATTTAAAATACAAAAGTATAAAAATTGTAATGAAGTTAGATATTAGTAATCCATATTTTAAAATAAAAAGCAAATCATCATCTACTATCTCTTCAATTATATCAAAAAACTCCATAATGTTTAAAAATAAAAATTTAAATTAATATATACTAATAAAACCTTCTTATTTACTTATTTCCAATAATATAAGAAAATAGGTCAATAGTTAATTCTAACTATTTGTTTAAATCAACTATTAATTGTAACAAATATATATATTATTGATGTATAAACTCATTTTGTTTATTTATTTGTGTCATTTAGATTCTCAAGCATGCTTTTAATATTGTGTTAGCTTTTATCTAAGGTTATCTTACTTGCTATATAATCTTTTTTTAATTCTTTAATAAGTTCTATGGATTATTCATTAAAATCTATAATTCTTGGATTTTTTGATAAATCAGTATATTCTTCTGAGAATTATACTTTGTTTTCATGCTAAAATGATTTATATATAATAATACTTCTTCTAGACGATTAAATATAATAGATGCTCTATCTCTTAATTCTTCTATATCTTAAATTAGACCTAATTCTTTAGCTGAATTTTTGTTAAGTTTTCTTTTTGATATTGCATATTTTTCTAACAATTTATGTGCTTTAATTAATTCTTAAATAATGAGTTAATTTTTGTCTCTAATTTATTTTAATTATCCTCCCATTGATTATTCTAACTATTGTATAATATATATATAAAATTACTTAACCAACATAACCTTGAAATTCTCCAACATTTTAAACTTAATTTGGTTTTGTTTTATCTTAACCTGTTTTTTAAAATATGGCTTAAGTTAAATGTGTTTTGTTTTATTCTAATTTACCTTTTAGTGCTTCTAATTCAGCTGATGTTGTGTTTTAATGTTATTTTAATGTTTCATTGATTTATTACATTTATAACACTTCATTATAGATGAATTATAAGTTATTCTAAGTTGTATTCTGAGGTTGAAGTGATGGTTATTAAAAATTCAACATTAAATAATATTAATAATAATTCAAATATTTAATTTTCTGTAATGCTTTGTTTATTATATTTCATGATCAATAGCTACTTTCATTAGATCATTTTTTTATTTATTAATTTATGTTTAATAGACATCGAATTCATTTAATAAGTCTTTCATATCAAATTATTTTGTTTATTCTTTATAATCTTTATGTTAATCTTCAAAATGTTTCTATAACAATTCTTTTTCATCTAATGCTTTTTATAACTAATAACTTAAATTAACTTTTTCATCAAATAATTTTTCTATTTAATCATGTCTTTATTCAATTTCTAATTATTTTAATTTAACTTCATTCTCCAACATTTCATTTCTTAATTTTGATTGATTTAATTCAAATTCCTTTAAAAATTAAATAAATTAAATACCATCTTCTTAATTTATTAATTATGATCAAATTCTACTTAAGCCATAGTATCACTATGTTAATCTTTCATTTCTTCTATTTACATTTTTAATTATTAAATTTCTTCCAAATATTTATGTGTATCCTCTTAAATCTTCTCCTCTTATTAACGCATATCTATATCATAATATTCATTATATTAAGGTATAGTTACTTACTTTTTTTAAGGTACCTTATCTTTCTCTTCTTATTCTAAAGGTGTTACTGATTAATCACTTATAACACTTTTTTCATTAAAATTAGGTTGAAATTTTTCAGCATTTTTTAAATCTTCATCTTCTTATACTTCTGTTTATGTTGCCTTTTCAACTTTTTCTATTCCTTAAAATTCATCTTCTTAATAATCTGGACCAACAAATTATTTTCCTTTAGATTTTTCAGAATGATCATCATCTGCCATATCTGCATTAATAAGATCTTATTATTCTTATTGATTATCTTTTTATTCTTATTTTTATTATTAATCTTCTCCTTTCTCATTTGCTTTCACATAAATTCTTTTAGGCATATAACTATTAAATTTATCCATATGAATATCCTTAATATCTGATGGTAACACTTTAATATTATTGTGATAGTAATTGTAAAGGAAATTATAATCATTTTATAATAATGGATCTGTGATAAAATAACTATAAATATCAATAGCTACATCATTATCATAAGTAGTAATATATGATTCTAATATATTTTTTAGTTTTTAAGACATTTCTTAAAATTAAGGTAAATTACTATATGATCTATTAGTATTATTGAAAAATAGATCTTTAAATAGATTTGCAATTGTAATAAAATGATCCATATTATAATCTTGATTAATAAACTATTCTTTTAAATTTGGATTCAATAAAAATTTAGAAATGAAAAAATTTTTAACAGGAAAAGTAGCTTAAAGATTATCTGTAAAATGAGGAGCATCTTATATAGTTTAATTGAATTAAGCAAGGAGATTAAGTAAATCAGGGGGTAAAGTGGCAAAGAAGGCAATAAATTAAGTTTCCACAATAGGTTGAACAGTAGCAAAAAATTTAGGTGGAGCCATTTTATGATTAGGTAATAATAAATCATCAAGTAACTATTAGAATTCAAAATAAACAGGGGAATATAATAATTACATATAGTTGAGTAAAAATTAAAAGAAAGGATCACTATCATCCTAATCTTTAAATAACATATCTCTTTTAGTCTATGTATTAATATATTATTTAAATATATTGTGTATCATTTCTTCTCCTTAGAATTTTAATTAAGAGAACTAAGATCTTTTGTAATTAGTTCTCTTTTTTGAATAAGCAGCAAAATATAGTCTTCCTAATGTAAAATGTACTTCTTTGACATTTATAGTATCATTCTTTACAAATAATAGTTTCTTAATAATTAATAATTTATTGCTAAATATCAACTTATTGACTTCATCAATTTCATCTCTTTCTGCCATACTTTATCTTTCTATTATATATTTACTAATTCTTCCTTTATTTGAAATATATTCATCTAAAACATAATCACTTACTTATTCTTTTTCTAAAATATATTCTAAAGTGTTAACAAAATGACTAAGTTGTAATTTATTTTAATCAGAATCATTATAATTCATCATTATGTCTATAGATTCAAAAAATTCAAAACTTGTAGCTAATCTTTCTAAAGCTTTAACAAAGACTTTAACATCTGAAGGTATATAATTTCCCATACTTTCCATAATTTTACCAGATTATAATGCTATCTCTGATTATTAACTTGTTTTGTATAAACTTTGATGAACTTTAGCTCTATCAGAGGATTTATTTTTTGAATATAAGTTAAAAATTAAGCCATCTATTAAAAGAATAATTAAATCTATATATTAAGTGGCTGGTTAATCAGATCCTTCATCAGCTATTTTAACTACTTAAATCATTATAGCTGATATAACTGAATCATAATATTCTTTTCCTTTAACTTCAATGGATTATTTCCAAGTATTCTAAAAAACTTTATTTATTACATTATTTACATCCTATTTCATAAGCTCCTTATCCAAATAAAAAATTAAATGCTTGTCTAATATTATTTTCTATTTTATCTGATGAAAATTGTTCTTTTTTCTTTTCAAAATTCATTATTATTATATATTAAAGATATTATTATATTATATATCACAATAGCATAATGAATTCATATGCAATTAAAGGTTATTTATATTCTGGTTTTTTCATTAATATTGCAATTTTATCTTTTGATTTCAAAACAATAGTTTTGTTATTTACAATCCTTGTCCAAGTACCAAGAATAATCTAATAAAATATATAGATATAATTATTACATCATCATTATTTTTAGTCTATTCTTCATCTCTATAAATAAATATCCCATTTGGGCTTTTATTTTATAATTTAAAAATGTATTCATAGTTATTATTATCATCCCCAGGTTTTGCTTCCTCTTATTATTAGAAATTATCTATGCAGGTGTAAAATATTCTAAAAATATAATTAATATATACTCTTGCTATTAAACTTAATGTTATTCACTTTATTTATCAATTTTTATTTTTTTTTATGGTACTTCAAAATTATCACTATCAAATTTTTATTTTTATTTTCTAATGCATGTAATAATTGCATGTTCTCTAGAAATAGTTTACACCTGCTAAACTTCCATCTACAATTTTCTATAATATTCTCTCCCAAATTTAAACACTTCCTATTCATCATTTCCATTATTTCCATTATTTCCAAATTTTAATTCAATTACTTCTATAGTATTTATTATGTTCATTCTAAATTATTGTTTTATATGGTCTTCTGCAATCAACTTTAATTAGATCTTTCCTTGAGATTGATTTACTAATTTTTTATTTTTCTCTTACTTTAAACTATCTAATCATCATCAATCTATGTTTCCTCTACATGGGTAGTAACATTCCCTTATTTCTCAACCGTACTAGTCTATGCAAGAGCCAAACTTGTTATTAAATGATTATTTAATTGCTGACTTAGTCGATCTAAAGCCTATGATTTATCTTTGATATCATTGTAAACACTCCCAAAAGGCAATTTGGAAAGAATTGTATTAATACTATATATTTTATATTAAATTAATACTATGAGTTGCGTTCTGGTAATTTGGAGAGTAATTGAGAAGACTCTGTCAATTCCTTTTTAATCTAGCCTTATAATTGGGCATTGATTCTACAATATACGCAAACCATTACTGGAAATCCTTTTATTCTAATTTCTATAATTATTCTTAGAGAGATGACAATTTAAGTCTAAAGAATTTGACCTCTTCACCATTTTCTTCATGTGCTTTAGCCAAATCAACAGCTGTCTACACCAATCCAAAGAGATCCATTTTCTGATTAATTAATTATATTTTAAATTCTCACTAAGAGTATTAGCTTATTGTGAAAGTGGTTCAATTTAATAATAATTCTTATTTTTCTTTTTTTAAGTATTTTATCAGAATTATGACATTTTCCATCACATCATCTTGTAATTGATCATATTCATAATTCAAATCCATTATTAATCTAAAAATCTTTATATCAATCATCATTCTAATCAAATAATTCAAAAAGTAAATGTTAAAAGATTAATTTTAGGATAAATTCTGCTTCTATTAAAATCAAAATTCAATTTTTTGAATATAGATTCATTAATATATAAATTCTTATTAAAATATTTTTAGATTATAGATTCTAAATATCTCTAAATATTATTTTAAATTATCTTAAACAAATCTAGAAACTCAAAATATTTGTATTTTATGTAAAATTATTTCTAAACAATTTATTTTCTATCAAATTTTTGTAAATGAAATAAAAGTATAATAATACATTAAGATTAGATAAGATTATCAAAACAAAAAAAATTTAATTCAAATATTAAATAATTATAATAAATAAATGGATTAATAGCAATTTGATTCTGAATTACAAACCTATTTTCTACATATTAAACATGAAATCAAATAGGAACATATAGAATATTTGAAAAAGCATCCAGAATTAAATCAAATATTAAATGACTTTACAAGTTAGATTATTTTAGAAAAAGTAACTTTTTAATATTATTTCAGCCAGATAATGTTTATCAATATGCTAAAGAATATTTTAGTTTCTTTAATTAAGAAAAAGATCTTAAAACTTGTAAACCATTAGTTGTTTCTGGAGCTAGTGGAGTTGGAAAAGTAATTAAATTATAAATTGTTCTTAATAGGGAACTTTATTATAGATGCTTTTTAAATAATATCCATAATAGTTTGTTTTTAGTGTTAGCTACACAACAAGAGCACCAAGACCAGGTGAAGTTCATGGATAACATTATTATTTTGTCAGCAAAGAAGAATTTTAAAAAGAAATTGAAAAGAAAGCATTTTTAGAATATTGTGAAGTGCATGGTAATTATTATGGAACTCATTTGGCTCAAGTTTAAAAAGTTATGAAGCAAGGATAGGTTTGTGTAATTGAAATAGATGTATAAGGTGCTGAAAAGATTAGTAAATCAATGCCTAATTAGTGTAATTATATTTTTATTAATGCTCCTTCAACTGAAGAATTGAGAAAGAGATTGACTGGAAGAGGAACTGAAACAGAAGAAGTAATTGAAAAAAGAATGAAAAATGCTGAAAAAGAGATAGAAAAAGCTCATTAATTAGGATTCTATAATGAATTATTAAATGATGATTTACAAAAAACAATGAAGAAATTGATTGACCTTCTCAAAACATTTTACACCGATTTAAAATTATGATATGAAATATAGAATATTCAAAATAAATAAAACAAAATCATTATATTCTTTTATTAAAAGGAAATTATTATACAACTGATTAGATTAAGAATTATATTTAAAAATATACATTTTAATTATTTTTCAACATTTCTAAAGAAATACTAATATTATAAATTAAATTATCTTATAAAAATGAATATTATAATTAAATTTCATAATTTCATTTGATATCTCATTTTTTGGTATTTTATTTAATTAGTATTATTTATAACTATTTTAATTAAAATATTAAATTGCTTTAAAATTGTATATATTATCTTTAAAATAGTAATCTATTAACTAATATTATCTTGTAAATTTGAAGTTTGATATAATAATTTTAAAGTTTTGATTTAATTATAACTAAACCTAATTTATTCACAATTTAGATGAATAAATACAAATAGATTTAAATGAAAATTTACTTAAAGAATTATTAATGAATTTAAGAATTGTGATTAAAAGTAAATATTAAGAATCTTGATAATTTTCTGTATAATTTGGATGTTTATTTTGTTAATATTTAATTTAACTCAAAACACGCGGTTATTAAGTTCTCTTTTAAGATTATATGGGAAACAGGAGATACTTGGAGTAGGTCTCACTATATCCATTAAATGATTAGGTCTTAATTTATTTTTGACATTACTTAAATGGTTCTTTACCTTTAACAAAATCTCTTCTTTATGTTGGTTTAAGAGGATCACCTTTATACTCTGGATACTTGCCTAAACAGCCAGTTTCACCACTTTTAGTAGGGTTAGATGGTTTGAATGGAGCTTCATGTTTCATAATATTTGGTTTAAATTCCTTGACTTATGTTGGCTATCGGAATTGTTAATAACAGAACACTTACTTTAGGAAGGTTTGTTTCTCCATAAACCTATTTATCAGAACTAAAGTTATCTGTTGTATAAATTGTGCTTTTAAAGGGTTATTTATCTTTCAATAATTTTTATTCTTTAAATATTCTTTCCCTTTCAAATTATTAATATCTATTATATTCATCCTTTTCATGCTTTGGAAATTAACCAATATCTTTGCTTGAAGGATTAGTTGTAATATTTTTTGGTCCAATATGTACTCTGTTATCAGGTCCCTTATGATTATTTGGTCCTTTGGGTATTTCATAATCAGGTATATGGGAGTATGAACTGCCTATAATTTCCTTATATCCTGAAGGTGGAACGAAATTCTTTTTGTCATCAGATGAATATTTCTTTTTTTCTTCTAATTCTTGAATTCTAATTCTTCTTTCTGGATCTAGATATTTATCACCTATCGTTGTAAACCCTAACAGGCTAAAATATGATGACTTTATTTTGCCCTATTTAGGGGCAGTAATTTTAATGTTTGAAGGAGAAGTAATAGGTTTTCCTTAATCATTTCTGGGGGCTATTTATATAATGTAATGTAAAACGTCTTGGTTTGTTGTCATAACTATTATCACCCATTCCAAGAGGAACAGGAGAAGAAAATAATCCAAATCTTTATATTGTGGCTAATTTTTCAGTTTCTGCTAAGGCTTTTTTACCTATTTCCCTAAGAGTTGCTTCTTTATCTGTCATAATAAATTTTTATTCTTATAATTATATTGATTAACTATAATTGAGTTATAAATGATTAATATTTTAATTGAAAATGCTAGTTTTATTTAAAAATCATGTAAAGATATATAAGATAGTTACCAAAATTTAATAGTATTCTTTTTTAAAATAAACTTGTTAATTTCTTTGAAATCATATATTATAACAATAAATAAGTAATAAATTTTATAAGTTAGTTATCTACATAAAAGGAAAATTGAATATTTTTAATATTTTATCATAAACTTGGCTTATCATAATAATATATATTAGAATTAATTATCTGTCATATTATAATAATTCTTTTCTATATATTGAATATGATCAAGTAATATATTTATTATCTTAGTGTAATTTTTAAGTCTTTATATTTATATAATAAAATATATACAATATGTTAAGGAATAAAATAGTTGAATAAAATTTAAAAAGAATTATTAAAAATAAATCTAAGGAAATTAATATAAAATTGATTTGTAATACTTAATAGATGATAAAGATGTGTATATTTAGTATTTTATTGTATAAAAATTAGAGATTTATATGTAATACTTATTATTAGACAAGTTTAAGCCAATAGTGATTTAGTATAATTAAATAAATGATGAAATAATTAAGAATCATTGTTTTAGAAAAAAATTAATATTGATGCTCTAATAATTTCTTATAGAGGATTTTAATAATTTCAATAATATCACTTTGGATTTCTTAAGACATAAATCACAGAATCCCCTCTTAAAAACATCTTTGGAATAAATCTTTCTTTGTTTGTAGCATGAGCTTTCTTTCCCTTATTTCCCTTAGGAATTTCTGTCCACATTTCAGTCACATTCTCAAGAATCTTGATAAATAATAAAAATACCATATTCATATGTCGATCGAATGCTTTTACTCTTCCCAAGAGTTTTCTATTATTTCTAAGCTCAATAAGCACTTGAGTATTATGACTCACTGTAATTGTCAACAATCCAAAAGGTCCTTTTTCTAGTGTTTCTTCTTATGCAGTTCGCTTCTACGTTTCAGCCATTTAAAATTAAATTAATTATAATAACAAAATTAGTCTATTCTGTATTAATAGATTATATATTTATATCTATATATAACTTCTGAAAACATTAAAATCTTTGGATTTACTAACTAAATTTCATTCTTAATCTTTTCAAATGTTTAATTGACTTTTTATGAATAAATATCCATTCATATTTAATAATTATCAATTCAGTTTCTTAGAGTTGTAGGTATCATCACCTCCTCCATAACTCATACCCTTTATATGAGGTTATGGAGCATTAGGTGTCTCTTAAATTTAGGTATAAGGCATTTTTTGTCCTTCAGATCTTGAAGCATTTTGTTCTGCAAATGTTTTCAATGGAGATTTGACATTTAGATTGTATAATTCTGTCCATTTGATTTTTGAAAAAAATGGATGATATTTTATTTCTTAGTATCCCTTAAAANCTTTATATTTATATAATAAAATATATACAATATGTTAAGGAATAAAATAGTTGAATAAAATTTAAAAAGAATTATTAAAAATAAATCTAAGGAAATTAATATAAAATTGATTTGTAATACTTAATAGATGATAAAGATGTGTATATTTAGTATTTTATTGTATAAAAATTAGAGATTTATATGTAATACTTATTATTAGACAAGTTTAAGCCAATAGTGATTTAGTATAATTAAATAAATGATGAAATAATTAAGAATCATTGTTTTAGAAAAAAATTAATATTGATGCTCTAATAATTTCTTATAGAGGATTTTAATAATTTCAATAATATCACTTTGGATTTCTTAAGACATAAATCACAGAATCCCCTCTTAAAAACATCTTTGGAATAAATCTTTCTTTGTTTGTAGCATGAGCTTTCTTTCCCTTATTTCCCTTAGGAATTTCTGTCCACATTTCAGTCACATTCTCAAGAATCTTGATAAATAATAAAAATACCATATTCATATGTCGATCGAATGCTTTTACTCTTCCCAAGAGTTTTCTATTATTTCTAAGCTCAATAAGCACTTGAGTATTATGACTCACTGTAATTGTCAACAATCCAAAAGGTCCTTTTTCTAGTGTTTCTTCTTATGCAGTTCGCTTCTACGTTTCAGCCATTTAAAATTAAATTAATTATAATAACAAAATTAGTCTATTCTGTATTAATAGATTATATATTTATATCTATATATAACTTCTGAAAACATTAAAATCTTTGGATTTACTAACTAAATTTCATTCTTAATCTTTTCAAATGTTTAATTGACTTTTTATGAATAAATATCCATTCATATTTAATAATTATCAATTCAGTTTCTTAGAGTTGTAGGTATCATCACCTCCTCCATAACTCATACCCTTTATATGAGGTTATGGAGCATTAGGTGTCTCTTAAATTTAGGTATAAGGCATTTTTTGTCCTTCAGATCTTGAAGCATTTTGTTCTGCAAATGTTTTCAATGGAGATTTGACATTTAGATTGTATAATTCTGTCCATTTGATTTTTGAAAAAAATGGATGATATTTTATTTCTTAGTATCCCTTAAAAATATTTTAACAAATTTAAATTACTATTTCAGCTCCAATTCTTTCTTTAGGATTAGTTTTTAATAATCTTTAAACTAAATTTACTGCTTCATTACTCATTATAGGTGGATAAGTTGGTTAATTTTATAATATTAATTGTAGAATCTTCTAAATGTTTCTATCTGGAACTGTAAAAGGTGGATGTCCATTAATCATTTCATATATTAAGATTCCAAGTGTCCATAAATCTACTTCAAAAGAATGTCCTTTTTTATTTATAATCTCTGGAGCTAAATATTCAGGAGTTCCTGCTAACTAATATTAGTATTAAAATATACAGTATAATTTTTAACATTTTCATCTTTTCTTAATGTAGCTAAACCAAAATCTGTTAATTTAACATGTCCTGTTGTTGTAAGTAAGATATTTTCTGGTTTCAAATCCCTATAAATAACCTTTAATTAATTATTCAAATATTCTAACGCTAAAACCACTTCAGCTGCCACAAAGGCAACAATAGATTCTGGTAAACCCTTTGTTTTTGAAAGAATCTTAAAGAATTCCCCTCCATTGATGTATTCCATTACTAAATATAATTTAGTTGGTGTTTAGAAGGAATATTTTAACTACACAATGAATGGATGTTTGCTTTATTTTAAGACATCTTTCTCAAGTAAAGCATTTGATTCTAATTTGCTATCAAATATCAGTTTCTTATTGATGCATTTTATAGCATAAATTTTTTGATTGTCTTTTTTTTTTACTTTGTATACTTTTCCAAAGGCACCCTTATAATATTAATTTATACTTTGCCAACTGTTGCTAACATAATGAAATCTTCTAGTCCTACTCTCTTATGAGTTAATTCAGGCACAAATGATGTGGAGTTATCCAGAGTCTTACTTGATTTTAACGCCAATTCCTCTGAGTTTTAATAAACATTATACATTCTTAAATTGGTTGCAAGGAATTCTATTAATTCAAAGAACTTTGAAATTCCTCTTTTTCTGATTTCATAAAATCACATAAATTTCCCATTTTCAATTTTTTTAATAATTCTAAAACTCCACAATAAATTTATCATAAAATTATTCAAAAATATTACAAAATTCCTTTAACAAAGCAATCAAGATGTCTACATAAAAGTAAACTTCTATACATAATGTTATTATTATTTGAATTCTAAAATTATAATATGTTTTTTGAATTCTAGATGTTTGAATTATTTATTAAATCTATATTCTAAGACAAAAATAAATCATTTTCTATAAAAACAATACATATTATTACTATTATTAATAAAAATATAAGCAGGCTTTCTCAAAATATAATAATAATATAACTAACTTTGCTTCATATTTCAACAAGCTTGCATAAATATTAATTTTTACATATAAAAAATTTATCAATATGATTTCATTCATTTTTATGTTTGATATAATTAAAAATACATCTATTATTCTAACAATAAAAAAATTTCTCAAATTGACTTAAGATATATTAAATATATAAATCATATGGAGAGAAATCTATAAAGTTTGTTAATATATTTTAGTAATCTATTAAAATTGAGTAGTTTATAGACACATTATAATTGCAATTAAAAAATGAAGATATAGATTATTCCTATAAATTAAAGGATACTAAAAGTATTTTATGAACTATTGTCAAATATTGTCCCCTTTTTTCTTCATAATCTCTTTTCCTATCATGTCCATCTTATTTTCAATACACTTTAAATGTCTTTATATGAAAAAACTAATATCAATTATTAGATGTTGCTTTATACTAAATAATAATGTCCTATTTGTCTTTCTCATTTAGTAAGGATGCTCCTTATCTAATATTTAAGTAATTTATTTTCTTTATATTGAATACTATCCTACTGAATGTAAGTCAGTAATTAACTTATTAGAATAAAGTGAATTAGCTTTAGAATGCTACTAGAATTCAAATAATTTTGAGCAGTATTTAAAATATGAGTAAAGTCAAATAAAAAATTAAATTAAGATTTGAAATTATTTTTGAGATGATAATAAGATTTGTAGCAATTTTAGAGACCTATTTGTTTGGGCAGATAATAGAAATAATTAGAGTAAATGAATCTTAATTAATTAATTTAACAATTTTGATAGTTGCAACACTACATAAATAAAATTTCTATAATAGATTGAATTTTAAAGAAAATATTACTTAGATCAAAAATAGATTGTAATTTTATTTTTCATACCTCATGTATATATAAACCCTTAGATATAATAGAGATTATTGGTCTAAATATTTATTCTGTTTAATTTTTCAAAAATTTATCAAATGTTTAACTTAAATAAATATGAGATTTCTTAAATTTTACTATAGTTTAATGATGTTAAAGAGATAAACCTAATAACTTTTTAGTTAAATACAATTTAATAATATTCTATTTTGAATGAATATATTAAAACATTTAGGAAATATAGAATCCATTTAATGATTTCAATTTAATTGAGAGTACTATAAATTTAATTTACAGAATATATACATTTTAGATTACAAGTAATTTTGATAAATCTGATTTTCAAATTTCTTATTGTTTAAGGGTAATACTGTAATCTATAATAAATGAATATCATTATTATTTAGAAATTGATATATAAATAATTTATATATAAAAATTTAAATTTATCATTTTAACAATGAAATTAGTTTGCCGTTTAAGACCATAGCCTAATAATACATCTTCAAGTACTGTAAATTCAAAAAAAGATGTGCGTACTAATATCTTTGCAGGTGTATTATCTAATGAATGTAAGTTTTGAACCATAATAAGCACCCTAGACTCTTGTTATAAGTTCACGTAATGCAATATCACAGAAAATAATTTTTGAGTATTTAAAGAATGATTCAGATATAATGAAACAACGATAATCGATAATTGAGAATTCTGATCTTTTTCAATTTGATTAAGTATTTGGTGAAAAGGCTAATCAATAATTGGTTTATGATTAAGTGATGGCAACTAAAGTAAACAATTTGATCACTGGTTCATCAGGTTCCTTAATTATATTGGGGGGACCTGAAAGTGGCAAAAAGTATACTATCAAAGGTGAAGAGAGAAGTCAGGAGAAGGGTTTAGCTGTATTAATAGTAGAAAACATACTCAATTTAATTGAAAGTTCAAAATAATTAAGAGGGAAGGGAAAATTAAATATTTCAATATCATTAGTAAATAATATTGAGATCATTGATTTAATAGGATCATCTAGAAGTTAAACTGTTAAATTTTCATAAATTAAGAGTGCAATTGAATTTAAAAAAATGCTTAATTAAAGTATATTTTAATATAAGTAATATGTAAAAGAGCATCCAGAAACAAAAAATAATCATATTTTTATAAAATATTTAATTGAATAGGATAAATAGGAAGTAGCTTAATTACATTTGATTCTTTTTAATGAATTTAGAAGAGTTACTTAAGAAGCTAAAGATTTTTAAATGAAATTGAAATAATTACTTATATCTTAATAAGATTTTTAAGAAAAAGAGTTGGATAGTAAATCATTACTGTAACTCTATTTATCTTTGAGAGAAACTAAATTTAATAATGTGAGTGTTTTATTTTGTGTATCTTAAGTTTAATAGGATCATATAACTGCGTATATGACATTATAATTTGCTGAAGATTTGAGACAAACAATAAAACCTTCAACATAAAGAATAGCATTATCTTAATTAGAGAATTAATCAATAAAATCAAAATCATAATTGGGAAGAGATAATATAATTTAATAATTTGGATCAAAAGGATCTCTTGATGATTAACCATCTAGAATTGTAAGACCAGGAGGATCTGATTAAATAATGAGATTTGGATCAGATTAGAATTTAAGACCAGGATCAGATTAAACTGTTTTACATTAATCAAAAATATATAGTACAATTGACAGATAACCTAGTAGATAAGAAATAAATTTTTCTAAGCAATTTTAAGAATTGAAGGAATTATTAAAAGAAAAAGAAGTGATGGAAGATTATAAGTAATTATAAATGAATATAGTTATTAGAGTCTAAAGATTTGAAAAGGAATTAAAGAATTTATATGAAGAGAATTCAAGATTGTAGAGTAAGGTTTATTAATAAGATGATTCTATTAAATAAAGAGATCTATTGATTTAATAGATGGAATAACATATGGATGATAATAAAAAGTAGATGGAAATAGAACATTAATTATTTACTTAAGCAAAATAGAATGAAAATATTTATGAATAAAATTAAGAAGAATTAAATGAAGCAGTAGCATAATTAAATTAATAATTGAGATATTGTAATGAAGAATCTTAATTATAAAAATAAAAAATAAGAGTTTTAGAAAATGATATTGAAATGTTGAAAGAATAAGAGTTTAAGAATGTAAAACATTATGAAAAGAGAGAAGATGAATTTATGAATTTAATTTAATAAGAATAGGAACGAAATAAATAATTATATTAAGAATTAGATTATTTTGCAATTGAATTAAAGAATAGAGAATAATAATTATAGGCTAGTGATGAAAATATTAAAACTTTAAATAAAGTGATTGAAGAATAATCTAAGAGAATAGAAGAAGAGAAGTAAAAGAATAAGGAATTATGTGAGAATGTAAACAGTCACAAATTAAAATAAGAAGAGGCTGTTAGAGATATAAATTAAATTGAATAAAGATTTACTAGATTAAAAGTTAAATTGGAAACAGAAAATAAATAATTAAAATAAGATAAGGAAATATATTTATCAAAATATAAAGAGAAATTAAAGAAATATAAAACTCAATTAAAATAATTTGAATAAGAGAATGGATAGATGAAGATGGAAAGAGTTAAATTATAAACAGAAAATGATTAATTATATGGTATTTCAAAACAATTAGAAACATAATTAGGTAGAATTCATAGTGAAACTACAGAAAGAATTGGAGGTTAATATGATATATATGAATAGGATAAAATTAGACAATAAAATTATTAATTAAGTAATTAATTATAATAATCAGATTATGAGGTATTATATTTTTTTAAATATTGAATTAGATTAAGTAATTATCATTATAACTTAACAATGCAATATAATAATTAGAATAAACTAATATTGAATATGATCGTATTTTATAAGAGAATTAGAAATTATAATAATTATTAGATAATAAATAATCTGAAGCTAAAAAAAATGAATTTATGATTGAGAAAGTTGTAGAACTAAGTGATAAATAATTAGATGATTTAGAATCAAAATTTAATAAATTAACAGCATAAATTAATTCATTATAACATGAAAAGAAATCATTATAGTTAGAAAATCAAAATTTAAAAAATTAATTAGAATAGTTGGATGGTAATGATTTAGTTTTAGAAAAGAGAATAGTTAAATTAAGAAAAGAAAATAAAGAATTAAGTAATCAAATCAAATAGTTAAATTAAAATATGAAAGAAATGATTGTTGAAAAACATTCAGAAATGAGAAATACATCCTTACGTTAAAGTAGATATAGTAACAAATTATTAAGTTAAAATTAATCTTATAGATCATAAAGATTAATGGATTATGAAGATGATGATGTTATTTGATTTATATATATATATATTTATTTATATTTTTATATATCAATATATGATTATTCAATAATTTCTACTTTATCCTACTCTTTATTAAGATGTACGAACATCTTAATTTTATTTCTCTAATCGCTTTTATTCTTCTTATAAATCTTATAATTATCTTTATGATTATTAATAATCTCTTTCTAATTATTAGAATCTCTTTTACCATGTTTCTATTTCATTTGAATAATGAACAGTTCTTTCTTAAATTTATATTTCAATTGATTCTTATTATTAATGAATTTGATTCTCCAATTCAGATATCTCTCTATCTCTATCCTAAATCATTTGTTATAATTAAGCCTTCTTTGATTCTAATTCTCTTAATCTAGTATCATCAATCACTTCTATAGCATCTGGTTCAGTAGGTCCTGGTCCTTTTCTTAATTGAATTTATAATTCTAAAATTTATCTTTCTAAAGTTGCACACTTTAATCTCCAAGGAGCTTCAATTTCTATTGGAATAATTTAAATTCTTACCATCCATATTTATAACTTATGTAGGTTTCTCTTAATAGACAGTAGGTAAAACATTAGGTTTTGATTATATAGTTTAAGGTACATAATTGACTTAAGGTGGAAGTGGAAATTATTGTTAGAATTGTAATGGCTGTTAAACAATTGGCTATGTTGGAGGTTGCATAGGATATGCTTATCTTTAACCAATAACTGGTTAATTATTATTGGGTAGTATGATATTATATTGATTTTGATTAGGTTGTTAGAAGAATCCAGGATTTCGATTATCGTTGATCATTAGATAGTATTAGCTTAATAAATATATTATTGCAAATATATAATTAAATAAATCTTCTATTTGTATAAATGAGTATTCTTTTATAGTATATTTCATATATCTGCACAACAATTATTGCACTAAGCCTTTTTTTAATTCGTTTAGTTTTGTTCTCCATAATATTCCATAAATTCTTCAGTATTTGAATTATTTATCTATTAGTGCTGTTATTTCATTACCTTTTATAACTATTTCTTGGGTATTGCTTGCTAACTTACAATTTTACTTGTTGACATAGAACTATTGGCATTATTGACATATTTGATCCCATATTATTCATTTACTAGGTTAGGATCTTCCATGGCCATCTAGTAAATTTAATGAGCCAATTCCATAAATGCATTTTCTACATTAGATCCTTATAAGGCTGAACATTCAGTATAGAGACACTCATTTTCTTTGGCATATTGAGCTGCTTCATAAGATTCTACTTCTCTATGATTTTGAAGGTCAGTCTTATTGCCAATAAGTAGAAATTTCATTCTACTATTGCCATTGTCAAGAGCCTCACGATGCCAATTACGAATATTTTCAAAAGTCTCTCTTCTTGTAATGTCAAAGACCATGATAGCTCCAGCTGCTGCTCTGTAATACAAACGTGTCACACTCTTGAAACTCTCTTGTCCAGACTTTTCATTAAGGATCTTTTTACTGTATCCCACATCTGCAATTTAATGACATGATCATTCACTTAGATATATTTGATATTGAATTCAACTCCAATAGTCAAATTATAGTCATCACAAAATCGTTTCTCAACAAATTACTTAAGTAGCGATGTCTTACCAACAGCTACAAAGATTCAATGTATCATAAATACCAATATCTCCAATTAAAATAAATTTGAATAACAGACTTGCTTCATTCTCATCAATATTATTTTACAACATTATTTTATTTAAACACTTGAATAATTAATATAATAAATATATTTATATAGATAAAATATCATTATTAAGGATTATTAATAGATGAAGTTGCTTGTTTTACAAAATTATTTAAAAATCCTTATTAAGCTAATCCTTATCCAAAAGTTTAAGCAGCAACTCCAATATTAATTGATTACTAATTAACTTCTGCTTACTAGATTTAAGATATATATTGTTATTATTATTGATCTGTTAATTCAACTTAAAGTTATGGATAAACATTTTAAATAGATGCTTACATAAGATTTTAATTTTTTTGATCTAAATTAATAATATATATATATACATGTAGGAGGTTTTGGAGGAATTTTCATTAATTCCATATACTCTACTAATTAATCAGGTAATTCAGCCAAAACTTCTTTAGATAAAAGAGTTGGATCATGCTTGAATTCATTAAATGGGACAAATTGTACTAAATCTCTTTTAGCTTTTTGTCCAAAGCTATTAACCATGCTCTTATCATCATTATCAAGTATGTTCATCTTTTTGAAATCTGCATTTCCTATCCCCACAATTATAATAGATAATGGTAAATAAGAAGATGCTATAACATCATCTATTGATGCTTATAAATCATCAGTTTATCCATCTGATAGAATCATTAATATTAAGTAGTTGTCACTTCCTTTATCTTTTACTTCTTTAGCCATTTCCATAACCTTTGATAATACAGGATGTATATATGTTGGTCCATCAAATTACATATTTTAAATTGAATTTCTATAAACTTAAACTATACCATCTAATCCATCAACTCTAAAAATATTAAATATAATATTTACTCAGGATCCTCTGGATTATCATTTAAAGGAAATATATGTAAAGTTTAGTTTGTGTTAATTACATTAAATTTTGGTTTACATCCAAAACCATAGACTGGTACTTTTTTGTCATAATCATAATTTATTAAAATTTCCACTACACTTGTAATTGCTTATAAATATTAACTAGGATTTCCATTTTCTGGCATATAATGTAATGAATTTTTTTCTTTAGGATTACCATTAGATGCTGTAAAATCAATAGCAAGAATCAAATTCAATTATTAACCACCTTAACGGTAATCTAAAAATGTATATTTGCTTTTTAAAATAAAATCGTCAAAACTTATTGTTCCTGCAGGTGCATTATTTTTTTATTTATTTCTAAATTCTTTTTTTTATGGTTGATTCTATGCAAATGATTCTTTAAGTTCTTCAATACAAAATGTTGTTTCTCCCAAATATAAATGCTTTCCTGAAGTTCTATAATCCCAGAGTTCTACTTTAATTGGCATTTAATAATCTCCATTACAAAGTTTTTATGCTTTACATTATATAGTTTTCCAAGTTGGATTTGAAGAGTCTTTTATAAATTCAGTTTCATAAACTAAAATTGGATTACTATCATCTTTTCTTAATCTATAAAATCTTAAGAATGGACAAGCTCCATGCCAAAACCAAAATCTTGTATCAGGTAAATTTTAACCAGAAACTGTTATTTCTAAATCATCATTACATTGTTTAACTTAATCTGCTTTTACTATAATCTTTCCACTCTTTTTTTTTTATAAATTAAAAAGATCTGCCATCAAAATTTGATCTTTTGATCCTGCTATCTCTGCAACAGTAGTCTCTGCAATTCCAATAATCTATAATTTTATGTTTTTAATTACTTTTGATTGTGTTTTACTAATAAAATGATGCACTTCTAATTTTAGATGTTATTAAGCCTCAAAATGATATTCAATTAAAATTGAAGTTGCAAAATTAGGATTTAAATTATTCCAAATTAATTCTGTTTAACCTATCTTATTCCCTAAAAATATTAATAACAAAAAATTTACATTTTTTTTAACTATTTTTTAAATATAGAACTACATATGGATCACTTACACTCACTGTATCCAAATCATCTAATTGACGGCAACTTATAAATAATTCTAATTTCTATATTGAATCAGAATATATGTTTTAATCTAATTGTATTGACATTTTATATTAATATATATTAAAAAAAATTAATTGATAAAATTATATTTATACAATTGAATTAAATGGTAATAATCAGTATTATTTTATAAATAGTTCTTAATAATATATAAGTTATTTAATTTTTAAAGACTTCAAATATCAAATATCAAATTTATAATTAATAGATTTTAATATTATGTATAAAAATCATTTATAATTTTGATTATATATTTAAATATCATATATTTAAAAAAATTGATTAAATTATATTCAATAAGTTCCTTAATTTAAATTAAATCTGTCAGATTGTTTTCAGTATTCATTTATATATATTAAGGAATTTTGAACTATTTCTTTTAATAATAATAAATATGGCTATCATTTTAACACTGACAATGCTATTCATAGCATATTCACAAAAAAAGACAACAATTTGTGATATTGAATAATATTATGATTTTGAACAAAATGAAAATATAGTTGATCATACAAGAATAAATTAGACTGATATTATGCTTACAAATTCTAATATTTATATATTAGATGAAAACTTGTAAGTATTGAATTCAATTGAAACCCCAGAAATTTCAGATTATATATGTAATAAAATAATTACTCATCCACTTCATTTAATATTGTTATTAGCTTGTTAATCTCAATAAAAAGGTATAAATCCTATCATGTTTGCATATAAAGCAAATGGACTTAATCAATATGAATTATTTGGAGAAGCTGTTCAAATGTAATAAGTGAAAGAAAACTTTGAAAAAATGATAATTGTAGGTAATAGTTTGCTGATTCCTCAAAGTGATAAAATACTTACTTTAACTACAGTTATTTCAAATAATTCATGGTATTTAAAAACTACTTCATATACATTGGATGCATAATTCCTTAATGTATCTAATCTAAATATCACAAATTTTGATATATATTCATATGTCAAAGATTTTCAAACAAATTATAGAATTTTAATTTCAGATTATGAAAATGGAGTATATTGGATTGAAGCTATTTCAAAATCAAACAATATTGTACCATATAATAGTGGAAGATTCAATATTAGAAGTTTTTATATTCCAAATACTGCTAGATTTAGATCAGCTGTAATTTTAAATGCTACTAATAGCAATACACTTTTTATTTTATAGACATATGTTGATAGTAGTTTTCTTTTTGAATATTCATTTACAAGTAGTTAACTATTTTTCTATTCTACATTAAACAAGTATAAAGATTGGAATGCATTTTCATAAATTAGAAATAATAAAAATGCTATATTAATACCATATCAAAATTATTAAAAGGTTGTTGTAATTAATTTATTCAATTTAAAATCATTGAAATAAAATTAATTGACGGTTGAACCTAATGATTTATTAATTTCAGCTTCAATTGATAACTTAATCTTATACTTCATTTCTGAAAATCGACTTGTCTTTAGAAGTGATGTGGATGCTTTGACAAGATGTACTTTAATGAATTACTAAGAAGTGTGATTGTTAAATATTTAATTATATAAATATATATTTTATATCTAGTAATTATATTCCAAAAAGTTTTTGGATAATATTATAAAATATTTGTATAAAAATAATTTAAATTATTATAAATTAGAATTGATAATTTATACATAGTGTTATTATCTTTATAAAGATCTTTTTTTAATATAAATTAATTATGTAAATATTAAAGAAATTTGCAGATTCGAAGTCAGCCAAAATTGGAATTATAGTTGCTTTAGGTTTGAGTGGAATTGTTTTGGGATATCATTAATATGATAAAGCAAGGAAATCTAGCATAATTGTTACTTAATGCCCACCTGTCACTTTAAATGAATTTGGATAGAATAGATTCTTAACTTAATCAGGAGCCATTTAAAGATGGGGTCAAATTGTTTAAGGAAGTATTTCTTATAAAGTTGATTTATTATTGAAAAAAGGTACATATTTAATAAACATGATGAATAGGTGAATCTTATAGTGGATTAGTAGCATTGGATTTTGAAGCAAAGCATATTTTGACAGATTTATATGTTGATTTTAGAGGAAAGAAAGTAGTTAGTTTGTATGTTAATGGAAATAAGATTAATAATTTGGATTGGAATGGATTATTTATTAAAATACCTAAAGAATATTTGAGTGCAACTTAAAAGAATAGAGTGAATATATAATTTGATTAAAATTATGCTAAAGATGGATGTGGATTACATGGATTTATTGATAAAGATGGAAAATAATATTTATATAGTTAATGTGAATCCTATTTCACAAATAGATTGTATAAGAATATTAATGCATTAGTTTTCCATGTATGGATTAACCTGATTTAAAAGCTTAATTGAGATTTACAGCAATATGTCCAAAGGAATGGGTAGTAATTTCAAATGAAAATGCTGAGCAAAATGGATAATTTAATGAGGCTTAGGCTATTAATATAATTAAGACATATTAACCTTAAGAATTTGTGGAGAATCAGATTTAAAATCTTGAGAATTCAAATTAATACAATTTTTGGGTTTTTGGGGGAACAAAAATATTACCTACTTATTTATTTGCTTTAGTGGCAGGAGAATATTGGTCAATAAAATATTAAGGAGAAGAAGGTGATATTCCATAGACTATATATTGTAGAGAAAGTTTAAAATAACATATGATGGGTATAAAGGATTTTGTTTTTGAAGTTACAAAGAAGAGTATGAAATTTTATGAAAATTTTTTTGGAGTTAAATATTAATTCAATAAATATGATTCTGTATTTGTTAATGAATATAATTGGGGTGCAATGGAAAATCCTGGATGTGTTACAATTAATGATGCTTATGTTTTTAAAGAAAAGAAACCAGCAACTACTTACACATAATTTGCTATTCTAATAACTCATGAAATGGCTCATCATTGGTTTGGAGATTATGTAACAATGAAATGGTGGAATGATTTATGGTTAAATGAAAGTTATGCTGAATTTATTTCACACTTTTGTTTAGAAAATATTTAAATTGAATCAATCAAATTATCTAATATTCCAGTTATGTTCAATTAAAGAAAAGGATGGGGATATAGAGAAGATTAAATGGTAACTACACATCCTATTGCTGGAGATGTTATAAATACTGAAGTAGCAGAAAATATATTTGATGGAATTACATATTCTAAAGGAGCTTCAGTAATGAAATAATTAATGTGTATTATGGGAGCAGCTAAATTTGGAGAGGCATGTGGAAATTATTTTAGGAAATTTGGATGGAAAAATGCTGTTTTATAAGATTTAATTGATCATTTATAAGAGAAATTTGATAATCCAGAATTTACATTATCATAATGGAAATAATAATGGATTGAAACTGCTGGTATGAATGAAATTGAACCTTAATGGGATTAAACAGATAGAACTCATTAAGCAAAATTAACTATATATTAAAGACCTGCTTTAAGTTAATTCCCTACATTGAGAGTACACAAAATTAAAATAGGATTATTTCATGATAATGGCATAGATTCTATTGATGCAGTACTTAAAGCAACTGAAGAAAATATTATTACTTATGATGGTAGTAAAGGATATAGAGCAATATTATTGAATTATGAAGATTAAACCTTTGTAAAAGTATTCCTTGATTAAGAATCTACTAAATATTTCAGTTAAAATTTATAAACAATTAATGATATTTTAACAAGAAATTAAATTTATAGAGCCTTTTTTGATAGTGTAAGAGATGGTAAAATATGTTCAGAAGAATATGTTGATTTCTTATTGGCCTAATTACCAAGAGAAAATTCAGATGAAATTTTGAATTCTCAATTAGTTTACTTATAATAATCAATTGAATCCATGACACCAAGAAAGTACTGTATTATTATATAAATTAGATTCAAGGAAGTTCTTGGTAAAAGAGTATTTGTTTTTCTTCTAGAATAATTAATTAAAATTAGCAAAGATCCATAATCTGAAAATAGATTAATGTTATTAAGAAATAATTTAACAGTATTTGCATATGATAAAACTTGTATTGATTAATTATTAACTTGGTTTTAAGATTAAAATCAAGTATTATCATAAATTGAATGTACAAAAGATAATAGATGGGCAATTGTTAAATTAATTTATGGTTCTGAACATTATGATCAAAATTCTGATTTGAAATAACAATTACTTTAAAAAATGTTACAACTTGATAATTCTGATGCAGCTACAAAAGCATAATTAAAATGTTAAGCTCTTAATGCAAATGAATAAGAAAGAGCTGCTCTATGGTAAAAGTTCATTGATCCAAATAATAAAGAATCAGTTAAATTAATAGCAGAATCAATGACTGGATTCAATAATGAAAGACGTTATCTTAGTTTAGAACCTTATTAAGATAAATTCTTTGATATCATTATTTAAATCTTCTAAACTAGAAGTAATGATTTCAGTAAAACCTTTTATGATAATCTTTTCCCTATCACTGATGATTTGGCCAGTCTTTGTAATGTAATATTCATATTTTAAATATTAGAAAGTTGAAAAATTGAAAGCAGATATTCCATAAAATTTGATCACTCTTAAAATATAAGTGGATAAATCACTTGATTAAATTAAGAGATAAGTGAAATAGTTTGAATGTTTCTGCAATCAAGCCTAATTAGTAATATAATAATAAGTATAAGAAAATTAAGCATGATATATATATAACATAAACAATAATATAATAAATTTAATATGAATACATCGTTTGAATAAATAAACAAATCACCTTTAAATCATTCTATTTCCAAATAACTTTACTCATTCCCTAAAGCTAATAGATTCAAAGAATTTAAGGATACAGCGTAACTTATCATAATCATATATCTAGATGTCCAAATATTTATTCACTTCCAAGTATGATGAGTAAACGTGGAGCTGGAATTGGATATGGATAAAAATCAGATTTAATATAAGAAAGTATTACACCAGGTCCAAATAATTATCAAATTAAAACAACTATTAATGCAAATAATGGTTGGACTATGCCAGTAGGCAGAGATGTATTTATCATTTAAACATTCCAAAGAAAAGTAATAAATATGAAGGTATCTTTCTTGGTTTAATTCAAAAAACCCCAGGACCAGGATAATATGAGTTCCAAGATTCTAAATCTCCTATTAAATATTCAATGAGAATGAGAACTGAAAGTCATAGAGATAAAGATAGGAAACCTGGACCGTATATATATTATTCTACTATTATTAGTGGACAATACAATTTACCAGAAGCATTAACTGAAAATGGAAAATATTAAATTAGCAAGTTTAGAGAGTAATTTTTAATTTAAAACAAATAGTTCTGGTGCAATCATTCTCTCTCCACCTAAAGCTATGAGTTCTCGTTTCTCTCCTGCTCATGAACCAACTCCAGGACCAGGATAATATAAACATACAGGTGATATAGATCCTAAAGGACTTTATTATTGTTCAAAATTTGCAGATACAAAATCTACAGTTTTTACAAGAGCAAAAAGAGAATTAACTAAAATTAGAGTAGAATCTCCTGGTCCTGGAACATATAAATTACCATCAGAATTTGGGTATTTATTCAATTTAAACTTAGTTTTTATGAAAAATCGATTAAATGAAACTTATATTAATAGTTATTATTATATTTTAAGATTCATATATAAATTTTTAATATATTTAATTTTCTATAATTTCAGAAAGTATTTTTGTAAATATCATTATGTTAACATAAAAATATTAATAAACATTTTTTATTTCAATAAGTATATATTATTTAATCAAAATCTCTTTATTGTTGCTTGTTGTTCTTTAAAATATGTATAATTTTGAAACAGATTTTAAATTGTTTCCTATCTAAGTAATAGTGAATTTTCCTATATCAATTCATCTTGTGAATCATGATCAGAGGAAATCTCACGAATAAAATCTTCATCTGATGATTTAGTTAATTTGAATGGAGATGGCAACTATTTCTCATGTAATCCTTTCCATGGGAAACCTTAAAACCATGGATGACTTTATATTTCTTCAATACCACTATATCCTAAACGAGCTTAAGGTTTTCTTTGCAACAATTAATTAATAAAATCAGCTGCTTCCCATGACCAATTAGGAGGAATTTCTTATTTTTTGAGTGATACCTATTTTGCAATAATTGCATCTCTAATATCTCTTCGTGTTTTTCCTAAATATGGTCGTTTACCCATCATAAATTCATAAGCCATTACTCCTAATGCAAAATGATCAACACCAAAACTATGATTTTATCTAAACATAACTTCAGGGGCTATTTATAAATATTATTATTTAAATACCCATATATCCAGGAGTTCCACTTGTTTCTTGAGAATTCTCTGGTTTCACTATTCTAGCAATTCCAAAGTCTGTTAATCTTGGATAACCTTTCTTATCAAGTACAATATTCTCAGGTTTGATATCTCTATGTATAATACCATTTCTATGTAGATATTCTAATGCTAATAGCATACTTGCAATCAAAAATTCTATAAATAATTAATGTATTATACTAGTATGTTGTTCTGAAAACCTACGCATTTTTCCAATATGAAATCTAAGATCACCACCTGTTAATAAATCCATTACTAGATATAAATTTTCTCTATCTTAAAAGGCATAATGAATATTAGCAATAAAAGGATGTTTAAGTTATGAAAGTAAAATTCGTTCATTCATTACTGAATTGACAGATTTCTTAGCCAAAACCCTATTAGCTTAATTTAACTTACTTTGCTTTACTCATTTCTTTCATAGCAAATAGTTTATGTGATTTAATCATTTCTACTCTCCATACTTTACCAAATCCTCCTTTTCCAAGAACATAATGAAATTTAAAATTACTCCTTCCAATCTCTATATCAGTAGTTGGCAATCTTAAAGAATACTATTCCTCAATAAGTCTTGAATTAGGTCTTGAATATATAGAATTTCTAAAACTGCGTCTTTCTTATGATTTTGGAGCTTGGAAAAGCTTCGGTTATTAATCTAACTATAATTGAAATGATTTGCGAGGTAGTTATCTTAATTGAGGACTAGCACTCTTCTTGCTGCTGGAGAACTCATCTGGTCTTTTTCTTGTTTAACTAAATGACCCATCTAGTTGAAAGCAAAGATTAGTTTTCCACATTTTTGGTTATTCCTTAGGAGATGTTGGAGTTGAAATAGGAATAGGGTTATTAAATGAAGGTAATTTGGAATTACGAGAAGTAAGTATTGATTGATTTTGTTTTACACGATAAAAACTTGCATCTACAGCATAATTTTGTAAAATGTTTCTTTGGCCAATTGAATTCTTCATTTTTATTTATTTAATATAAGTATACATAAATATTCTATAGAAAGTCACATCAAAGTATAATTCATATATGAAGAAGAAGAAGTTTAATAGTATAAAATAACAATCAGGAATAATAAATGAATAAAATAATATTTTATGAGAATAGAAATCAAATCCTCATTTCAATATTACTACTATCATTCAAAAATGAATAAAGGAGAAAGAATAGAAATTATGACTAAATATTATACTCTAACCTTAAGTTATTCTTATTAGATTATATAAATTCCTTAATAAAATTATGAATGAAAGTAGAGCTAATATTTATTGTATTTTATCACCAACAGAATCTTTATAAATTTTAGAATAATACATAGCAAAATTAGATATAAAAATCAGATGATAATTAAAAATTATAAAATAAAATATTATTTTGTCTTATATCCCTTTAAATGAAAAAAATGGTAAAGTTGATTCAATAAACAAATTAAAGAATTTATATTATTATTAGGTTTTGTTAGATTATATACTTATGTTTGATCAAATAATAATTAAATTAGTATTTATAGTTAATACATAAATCTACATTTAATAGTTTTATGTTTATATAAATAGAAATCATAAAAATTTTTTATATATTTTTAATTCTTAAGGCATGGCTCCAATACTTTAATCACTTTTTTCAATATTTTTCACATAATTACTTGAATTAGTGTATCTATGACTTGTATTTTGATGAGAACTAGTTTTTCTATGTTAAGATGGAGTTGAAAGTCCTATTATTTCTTAATGTAATTTTTGCATAACTTTAATGGATTAAATGAGTTCACCTTCATTATCACCAATTCTTGTTGTTAAAAGTTTGAGTTTTTAATAGATACTTTGAGGATCCACTTATTTATTATTAACTGCAACAATTATATCCTTTTCTAACTTCAAAACATTCTTTTGAACCATTTTAAAGTATGATTGGATAATTTAAACAGAGGCTTATTCTTCATTTTCTTATATAAGACCGGTAGAACTTCTCTTGTGTCTAGAATTATCAGATGTATTTGAACTATCTTTAGAAATTTCTTTTAAAAACTAGTTTTCTTTTTCTTTAATAATTTCACTATATTTTGGAGTAGATAGTTTCTTTTCTTCTGGATAATATTGTTTATTCTCAAATAATTTATCAGTTTTACTTTACTATTATAATTATTATTAATATTATTATTATTATTATTATTATTATTAGATAGGTTTTTTATTATCAGTTTATTGAAAGAGTAACTATGATGCAATAGTTGTTGGAGTTGCAACTGGCGTATTAGAATTAGGTTTAAAGAAATCATTAATTTTATTTTATTAAATATTTGATGTATTAGCTTAGGTTTTAGCCTTGCCTTTAAAATATTAAATTAAATACATTCAATTGCAACTTCTTATTAAGGAATTTAATAAGATTACTTTTTTTAATGATTTGATTAAGTAGGTTTCTATATTTGTTTACTTGGAGATATTCTTTCACTTCCTAAATTAGGTTTCTTTTTATTAAATTAAGGATGATTAAATGGATTAGAACGATTGTTATGATTAGTTTATACAGAGAACATTTCACCGATCTTTTAGGCATTCTTATTATTTGGTTCAGATACTTCTTAAAATTAATAAGCATTGGATTGTCTTCTTCCTAAGATAGCATCTTATTAATTCTTCTAGAGTGAGAATTGACTCTAGATTGAATAAGAAACTTACTTCATTAAGTACTTCTTTTTCCATTTCACTTGAATCTGTAATTAGATATAATTCATTATTTTCAATTAATAAATTCTTAATATCATATGTATGTGTTAATTTACGACATTTAGGACATTAAATTCTAAACTTATTTTAGATTTGACTATTATTTAGATTGAAATGATATACCTTGTATTTTCTTATATTTAAATATTGAGTCCACATTTCATACACATTGAATGTGAACATATCAATTAAATTGGATTTTAAGCAATCATTTTACATAATTGACAAATGGTAGATGAGTTTGAACTTTTATTTAGCATTAACTGATTATTATATTTTAATATTAATATATTGTAATGTGATCATTATGACTTGGTGATTTCTGTTTTTAAGCCATCAAATGATTCAACAGGAACATGTTAAGCAAGTGTATAATATTTGCCTTTTCCATCATCCTCTTCCTTCTTCTTTCTTTGTAATCTAACTCTGATTCTTCTTGGGAGATTTCTAATACCTCTAGCCCAAACTGCTTCATTCAAAGATGGGTCAATTCTAACATCTTCTGTAAGCATATTCTTTCTTGCTGACAAATTAATTCATTTTTATACCAAAATTAATAATATATGAAACAGCTCTTGGTGCTTTTCTCTTAAATGTTTCCTTATGAACACCCTTATGGAGATTGATTGTATAATCTCTGCTAACTTCACCTAATGGATTTGGCTTTCCTTTCTCCTTCTTTACCATTTTAAATAAATAATTTATTTAATATCTTTAATCAAAAAAATATATTAAAAAAAGTTAATTAATCTCATAATTACTGCTTCATCTTTATATGTCTAATGTTACTATTCTTACGTGATTGCAATCTATAATATTCCAAACATATACTAGAGATTCATACTATTGTTCTAACTCTGTAATTTCTACATATCTTCATCTACATATCTATAACCTAGAAATATCTCTTATTTTTGATGATTTGAATATCGTTCATCACTCTCATGACAAACCTTTGATATTTTAAGTAATATACCTTTTTTAATACTGATCTTAAATATAAATTTCTACGTTTCAAATGTAATATTGCTTATAATTGATTCTAAGTATATGCTTTTATATGTTATGGTTATTTAGGAATTCCATTCAATTTTATACGTAAATTCGCAATATTTATTGGTTATTGCACTTTTGCATTTACATTCATTACTTTATGAGATTACTCTTCACATACCTTGTTTATCTCTTATTTCTTATTTATAAACTAATTGGCGAAAACGAATTTTTGTTATATTGATTCTCGTAGTGGAGTTGTTTAATGATTTGGAGGATTTGCTCTTAATGGTGAAAGTTGGGGACTTTTTAAGAATAATTTCTTTAAACATAACCTATCTGAAGGTTAAGTTTTAGTAATGCTTGGAAATTAATTGATTTCTTTTTTATCACCTTCATCAGAATCTATTGATTATTCTATATCCCATCCTTAAAGTTAATCATTCAATTTATACATATAATTATATTCTGAAATCATATTAAATTTAGATAATNTTTGCCTTTTCCATCATCCTCTTCCTTCTTCTTTCTTTGTAATCTAACTCTGATTCTTCTTGGGAGATTTCTAATACCTCTAGCCCAAACTGCTTCATTCAAAGATGGGTCAATTCTAACATCTTCTGTAAGCATATTCTTTCTTGCTGACAAATTAATTCATTTTTATACCAAAATTAATAATATATGAAACAGCTCTTGGTGCTTTTCTCTTAAATGTTTCCTTATGAACACCCTTATGGAGATTGATTGTATAATCTCTGCTAACTTCACCTAATGGATTTGGCTTTCCTTTCTCCTTCTTTACCATTTTAAATAAATAATTTATTTAATATCTTTAATCAAAAAAATATATTAAAAAAAGTTAATTAATCTCATAATTACTGCTTCATCTTTATATGTCTAATGTTACTATTCTTACGTGATTGCAATCTATAATATTCCAAACATATACTAGAGATTCATACTATTGTTCTAACTCTGTAATTTCTACATATCTTCATCTACATATCTATAACCTAGAAATATCTCTTATTTTTGATGATTTGAATATCGTTCATCACTCTCATGACAAACCTTTGATATTTTAAGTAATATACCTTTTTTAATACTGATCTTAAATATAAATTTCTACGTTTCAAATGTAATATTGCTTATAATTGATTCTAAGTATATGCTTTTATATGTTATGGTTATTTAGGAATTCCATTCAATTTTATACGTAAATTCGCAATATTTATTGGTTATTGCACTTTTGCATTTACATTCATTACTTTATGAGATTACTCTTCACATACCTTGTTTATCTCTTATTTCTTATTTATAAACTAATTGGCGAAAACGAATTTTTGTTATATTGATTCTCGTAGTGGAGTTGTTTAATGATTTGGAGGATTTGCTCTTAATGGTGAAAGTTGGGGACTTTTTAAGAATAATTTCTTTAAACATAACCTATCTGAAGGTTAAGTTTTAGTAATGCTTGGAAATTAATTGATTTCTTTTTTATCACCTTCATCAGAATCTATTGATTATTCTATATCCCATCCTTAAAGTTAATCATTCAATTTATACATATAATTATATTCTGAAATCATATTAAATTTAGATAATATTAATTGAATAACTAAGTTTTTATAAATTGCATATTTTAAATAAAAACAAGGGAGGGAATTAAAAAAAGAATGACAACGAATAAAACATTTAGTATGGTCTTAGCAATGACTCTTAATGGAGGCATTGGATATTAGAACAGATTACCTTGGAAATTAAAGGAAGATCTATAGAGATTCAAGAAAATTACAACTGGCGGGATTGTGATAATGGGAAGAAAGACATTTGAATCAATGAACTGTAAACCTCTACCTAATAGAGTGAATGTAGTTATTTCAAAAAATATGAAATCTTCAAATGATTTTTAAGTGTTTCCTAGAATAGATGATGCATTACAATTTTATAATACATCTAATCAAAAATTGTATTTAATTGGAGGAAAGAGAATCTTTGAAGAAGGTTTAGCAACTGATAAATGTTCAGATGTTCATTTAACTAGAATAGGAGTTGAAACTAAATGTGATGTTTATTTGAACAAAAATATGTTTTCTACATTTTAAGTAAATAAAACTAGTTAGACAAAAAGTGAAAATGGTATAAATTATGATTATTAACATTTAATTAATAAGAATTCTTAAGAATAATCATATATAAATGAAGAACATTAAGAAAATCAATATTTAGATATGATTAGAAAAATAATGAAGGAAGGAGTATATAAAGATGATAGAACTGGAGTAGGAACTATATCTATTTTTGGTTAAACAATGAGATTTAATTTAGCTGAATCATTTCCTTTATTAACAACAAAAAAAGTATTCTTTCGTGGAGTTGTAGAGGAATTATTATGGTTTTTAAGAGGGAATACTAATGGGAAATTATTATTAGATAAAGGAGTTAAGATATGGGAAGGAAATGGTACTAGAGAATATTTGGATAGTATTGGTTTATAAAATAGATAGGAACATGATTTAGGACCAGTTTATGGATTTTAATGGAGACATTTTGGAGCTAAATATAAAGATTGTTAAAGTGATTATACTAATTAAGGTGTGGATTAAGTGAAGGAAATCATTGAATAATTAAAAAATAATCCAGATAGTAGAAGGATAATATTATCAGCTTGGAATCCAATGGATATAAAATAAATGGCATTACCACCATGTCATGTAATGTCATAATTCTTTGTTTCAAATGGAAAATTGAATTGTATGATGTATTAGAGATCATGTGATTTTGGTTTAGGAATACCATTTAATATAGCTAGTTATGCATTACTTACATATATGTTGGCAAAGGAATGTAATTTAAATATGGGAGAATTTGTTCATGTTTTGGGAGATACACATATTTATAGTAATCATGTAGATGCTTTAAAGAAATAAATTGAAAGGGTTCCATATCCTTTTCCAATTTTAAAAATAAAAAGTAATAAGAGTTTGTTTGATTATACATATGAAGATTTTGAATTAATAGGATATAATGCTCATGATAAAATAGAAATGAAAATGGCTGTTTGATTTTTACAATTTATCCTTTAAATTTTTATTACAAATTCAATTTAATTTAAACTAATTTTTTTTAATTTCCTACTTAATCCCTTATAATGTAAATTAACTAATTGCCATCAAATTGTAAGGATAGATTAGCAGATCTGGAAGCTCGTATTCTAAAGAAACCTAAAGTTGAAATTTTGGAGGCATTCCAAAGAGGAGATTCTTTTGAGGTTTTTTCTTCTTAAAAGGAGCGCAAATTACCAACTAAATAATTATCTTTATAAGGAACTCCTCGTAAGAGTTCTAGTGATCAAACACTCTTTCGATAATTATAAATTACATAGTTTACAAAGAATATGTAGAGGAATAAAAATTATAATAATAATAATTTTGATTTAAATGTAGATGAATTATAAAATGCTGAATAAACATTGAAAGAGAAATTAAATGCTATAGCTATATAAGATATTAGAATAAAGGAATTAGAAGCAAGAGTTACAGAGTTAAATTAAGAATTATAAGTAAAATAAATAAATATTATAGGAATAAAAGGAATAATAATTCAAAAGTGAGAATGCATTAAAATAATTTGTTATAGAAGTAGATTAATTTGAGAGAATGTAATTGATAATGGAGATAGAGAGAAATAAAGAAAAATTAGGAGAATATTCTTATTAAAGAGAAAAGACATAAATTCAAGAAGTTTGGGTAGATGGAAAGGAAATCAAATAAATAAAAGAAAAAGTTAAGTTGATTGAAAATTAGAAAGAGGAAATAGAAAATAAAAAGAAATAATTTTAATTTCAATCTTCTTCTTAATATCTTAAATATGTTTTATTATCTAAAGAATAATAATTATTATAAGAATAATTAAGTAGATTAGAAAATGAAAGACAAATATTTATTAAATAATTAAGGAGATAATATGATGAAGAACATGCTAGATTCAAAAAGATTAATGAATATAGAACAATAGGAGAAAGATATGTATTATTATAATTATTGGGTAGAGGAGGTTTTAGTGAAGTTTACAAAGTATTTAATTTATTAATTTAGGGATATGATTTAAAAGAATTAAAATATGTTGCTTGTAAAATACATTAATTAAATCCAGAATGGTCAGTCAATTCAAAATCTAATTATGTTAAACATGCAACAAGAGAATATAAAGTACATAGAGAATTATTACATCCTAATATAGTGAAATTATATGATTCAGTAGAAATAGATATGAATACATTTTGTACAGTATTAGAATATTGTGATGGTTGCGATTTATCAATCTATATCAAAAGATATAAATAATTTCAAGAAAAAGAAGCTAAATTAATTATTTAGTAAATTTTAAATGCAATCAAATATATTCATTAAAGTAATATTATTCATTATGATATCAAACCATAAAATATTTTATTTCATCAAAATGAAATTAAATTATCAGATTTTGGATTATGTAAAGTAGTTGATAATGATAAATCAAAAATGGAATTAACTTCATAAGGAGTAGGCACTTATTGGTATCTACCACCAGAATGTTTCTATACAGGAGATTAACCTCCTAACATTTCTAATAAAGTAGATATTTGGTCATTAGGAGTAATCTTTTATGAAATGCTTTATGGAATGAAACCATTTGGACAAGGATATAGTCAAGAAACTATTTTGAAAGAAAAAGTATATTATTTATTATAAAAAAGATTATTTTAAAATCGGAATGTGTAAATTTCCCTACAAAACCAATGATTTCTAATGAATGTAAAGATTTTATAAAAGGATGTCTAAATTATTCTTAAGCTGAAAGATTTGATGTGGTATAAGCTTGTAATCATTAATATATGTAACAGAGAAAATGAAAATAATAATAATATAATATATTCTTTATATTTATTCATTGAAGATGGCTATTAAGTAATCAAGGTCAATTTTAAATTTGCTTATCTAAGAAGCTATTTATTCTTTGACCTAAATTACAAAAGAATAATTACCATGAACAGTTGATTTAATCGCTATTTATTCAGATTAATTCTAATTCAAATGATCTGAAATATATTTTAATACATTATGATCACTTAGTATTAAGAATTTCTTGATTACATAATTTGCATATTGATGATTAGCTAATACAACGAAATTGCTTGTGCTATTAATAATAATTTTATTATATACTATTGATTAGGACTTCTGCAAAGTAGCCATTTCATAATAGAAATTAAATCTTGTTTATTTATAGCTTCCAATGCTCGTTCAACAGTATTACTAGTAATTTTATATATAGTAAATGTACCTTGCATATTTATTGATGCTTAATTAAAAAAACTATTGTAAAACTAATTGGACTAAAAGGATTTTCTCTTAACTTGTAATCCAATATTATAGAATATGTTGTAATACATAATTCCCATATTCTGTTTAACTTAAGATATTATAATTTTAAACTGAAGATCTTATGATTTTTGTAATTTATTGTTGAGAATATTACTAAATAATTTTATGAATAATTTTGCACCCATAAATTTATTATCCCATGTAGTTGAACTATGGAAATAATAATTATATGAAATACTGATTCTTCTATTAAAGGGATCATAAATTTCATTTTTTATTTATCAAAAGTTTCAAGCATTTTAAAAATCACATAATTTCCATTTAAATCATATATCAAAGATCTCATATTGGATTATAATTATTATAATACTAAAAGTTGAAGATCATTTCGATTATAAGTGTATTCAATTAATTTTTACATTACTCTACATCCAAAAGTATTTTTAGATAAATCATAAAAATGAGGTTTCAGTTTTATGAATATTCTATATTACAAATTATTATTAGCTATATTAATAATATATATAAATATATACTGCATTCAAATATCTTTTATATAACATAATTGCCAAATATGTCTTTCTCTATTTCAGGACTAACTCTTTCCAATTTTTACACAATTAATTCTTTTTATTCATTTGATCCAGTCTCTAACATCTTTTGTAATTTTCTACTTATTATTTGATTACCCCATAATGAATCCTAATATTAAATATAAATTATAACCACCAAACTTGTTATGTATAAATCCATTTCAATATCATGTTTATAAATAGGACTATTAAAATCCATTAAAGGTGAATATATATTTAGAGAAGGTAGTTTATATTCAATAATTGGTATTTTTTAATCATCAATAATGTCTTTAAAATATTCTGTTTCATTTTTTTCTGAATTCCAGAGTTCCTTAATAAATTTCAATGTCTGAGCATTCATTGGTGATGTTTCTGGTGATTGTTAATTTATATGAGTGTCTAAGTTTTATTCTCCAATATTCAATTATGACATAGTCTATTATGGTTAATATGTATTATGTTTAGATGATTTCCTAATCTAATCTTAAGATAATTTGAAACTTTGATATTTCTTTTATATATATATGAATAAATCTACTTATAATTTGCATTTATTTTCTTCTTATTCATATATTGTGTCAATATTTTCATAATTTATAAGATTCACAATACTTTCTTTTGGAGAAGTGTCCAAAGTTATTTGTTCAAAATCATATGTCAAAGTGTTACTCATAGGAGTCATCATACCCAAGTTCACAAATCTGTAATATATTTTTAGTTTAGATTACTTCACTTTTTGTTAATCACTTAACTGTCCCTCTACATTTTCAGTTCCTTGAAAATCATTGGATAAAGAAGCCAGAGTATCACTTAATGTATTATTCATCTTTTGAATTTTAATGATTAATTTAATAAATCTTTTATAATTTTTTAATACAAAATCTTCCCCTCATTTAGACTATTTTTATGTAATAAAATGGTATGATGTTAAAAAATATTTATAATTCTTTATTATAATTAATAATCTAATATAATCATATAAAAAACTATTAAATTAGTACTAATATGTAATAATATAATAATATAGAAATTATCATTTCTATTCACTTTTTTCAATGTTTATTATTAGTATAAATAGAATCTAAGTTATTAAAATTGATAAAATCAAGTTAGGTAGTTTCTAATCTTAGTAAGTCTAATTATCATAGATTTAAATCATAGAGATATGTTTATAATCTAAATATATAATAAATGTGGAGAAGATTTATTTATATTTCATTTTTCATTTTGATAATGAATTAAAAATTATATATATAAGTAAATACTTATAACTTACTTTGGTTTAATTATCAGAAGAAGATAAGAAAATCATTTAAAGAATAATTACTTTAATTAAATATATCTTTATGAGTATTAATTTAATATATTAGACTATCTATTGATTTGAATTATCTATATTATAATTATATTTTGTATTTATATAATGAATTATAGATCTCAAAATGAATATTACAAATTCTTTGATCTCAAAACATAGATATCACCTAGATATAAAAAAATGGAAACACTTCCATCTACTAATAGAAAGATATAAAATTTCTCATTAACGAACAAATCATAATAGAAAGATTAATAATTTATATATGAGATTGAAGGCAATTCTAAAATTGATCGTCAAACATATAACCATTTCTTCAATTATAAAAACAGAAGACCTACTCGAAATATTCAAAAAAATACTCTTTTTTAACATGGTATCTTAAAACAATAATCAAACCCTTTAGAACGATTGCATTCTTAATCATATAGATAAAACTAAAGTTAAAATAAGAATTAAAGTTAAAGAGATATTTTTTTAAATACTAAATTCTTCCTTTCTCCTAGACATTTACATAAAAAAATAAAACAGGAAACTTTTCATTAAAATTATTAAAATGATAAATAGATTGATCTCCAATCAAAAGAAAAGATTCTCTATTTGTAGAATAGTCAAACTGATATTATGCCTCTTGTAAATCATAACATTTGTTATAACAAAAATATAGTTATGAAAAATAAGTATAAAATAATTTCTTATGCAAAAAAAGATGATCCTTAATTAATCTCATTAAATAAAGATAATGAAAATATTAATGATGATAATTCAGAATTCCACTTGGTTTTATTTAGATCAAAAAAAGAATTATGATTATTATTATATATATTTATATATATATATAGATTTCTTTTCTTATATTTAATTTTACAATTGCCTCAAATAATTTTAATGGAACTCTAACCAAAATATCAGAATTTCTATAAATTACTTTATTGTACAACAATTATTATGCTTTGTTACACTTTTCAAAATGCAGGAAAGAGCATTTCTTATAATATTTATAATTCGGTATTGTTTATCTTATATACAGTAAGGACTAACTTACCTGTATTCAATGTAATTTACAATAAATTATTTTATATCCCCTATTGCTTTGTTGTTTATGGATGCAATTATCTAAAGATTATCAATGAGCACTATTCTATATTTAGGAAGTTTTAATGCTTTTGCATTTTTATTAGGAGCTTTTGTTGTATCTTCATGTTAATAAGCTGATTTATTTTATTGCAATATAAGTACATTAACAATAGCTATTGCAATTGAAACTTTATTAGGAGGAGTGGCATCATGTTTATTTTTTGTAGGTTATCCTATTTACATCAATTCAATTTCAAATCCATAGAATAAATCATATTATTTTGGTATTGGTTATTCAATATATTCTATATCAAGCTTTTCTGGTAATACAATTGGTTATTTTACTTCAACAAAAATAGAACCATTTTATTATTATTCAATTTTAATAGTTGGTTTAGCAATTACATAATTATTTCTATTTAGAGTAAAAGACTTAAGAGATAGAACTTAGATAGTTAAATAATCATTTTAAAATATGTTCAAACAACAAATTACATAATTAAAGAATGCATTTAATAATAAGGATTATTAAGCATTTATCCCATTTTTAATATTTTGTAGTATGCTGTAAGGTTGTTATTTCACATTTTTACCTTCTCTTTTAAAACATGTGTAAGGTGGAATTACAATAAATGAGCATACTTTTCTACTTTATTTAATTGGAGGTATTGGAATGATGTTAGGTGGTATAGGAGCAGGAAAATTATCTTAAAAGACTAATTTATTTATTGTAGGATGGTCTTAAGTTTTCTTCGCAATAATATTTGTAATTTTAGCAATCACTTCATATTATTGGAAAATACTGAATACAACATATATTACTGGATTTTTTTGTGGAATTGTATTTACAGGAACAGAATCATTGGCTGCTATGATAATAGGTGTATTAGTATCTGATAAAAGTTATTATTTTGTTGCAAATGATATATTAATAGTATAAGTTTGTAATTATTTTAGTGCTTAGGAATAGCCCTTACATCTAGTATTTCTTTATTATTGAGTAAATCTAATTTATAAGCTATGGTCTATGTAGTAATGACCATGTTAATATTAAATATTGTTTCACTAATTTATGCTTAAAGGATTTTCAAGGCTCCTATTAAAAATTCAAAAGTGGAATTACTAGACTGATTGAACAAGACAAAATTATAGTTTTTTTATTTTTATATTGTCAATATATATTATATAATTATAAAACGTATAATGCATACTCTTAGAACAAGCCTACTATTATGTATGTTAATTTATATTAATTATGCAGGGTATGTTAGTATCTAATCTTAGATCTGAAGCACTTAGCTTATTGAATCAAATGCAACCAAAATTCAAGGAGGAATCTGATCTAAGAACAGAAGACTTAATATATAAGAAAGCCACTGAATAATTAAAATAATAAAAGCCTTATTTTGAGAATAATGAAGAAGATATTAAGAGTGAAGTTTCATTTAGAGAATTTTATAAAAATGTAAGATCAGGTAAAGTTGAAGATGAAGAAATAAATATAGTAGAACCAGAACATAAAGAAATTGAGATTTAATCATATTTATAAGAATTAAGTGATGGATTAGAACCATAAAATGAAAATATTAAAGAAACTGAACTTTAGACTGATCCTGAAAAATTAGGAAAATTTAAAAAGTATTTTATAAAAGATGATGAAACTAAACAATAGATTAAAATAGAAACTAATATAGAAACTAATTAATAAATTGAAAAGAAAATGACATTAAGAGAAAAATTAGAAATGAAAAAGAAATAAGTATAATAACAATCAATTGTAGCTGCAATCTAAATTAAATAAGAAACAAATAATCAAGAATAAATTAATGATTAGAATATTGGTAAAACTACATTAATCAAAAAAATTGAAGAATTCAAAAAATTGAAATAATCAAATGAAATATAAGAAACTTAATAAGAAAAAGAAGAAAATCAATAAGAATCAAACATAAAAACAGTACCTGAGAATCCTTTAAGAAAACTCTTAAATAAAAAAGCAGAAGAAAGAAAAGAATAATAACTTAAATAATAAGTTGAATAAGATAAATTATAAATATAGACACAAGAAGTTGAAATAGAATTACAATAAGTAGATGTTGAAGATATACACTAAAATCAAAATATAAATTAATAGTAAAATATAGACAATGAATTAAATTAAAATTAATCTTCTTAATTTAATGATAATTCTATTAATTTATAAGAATAAGATAATGAGGATAATAGAAATTCAGATGAAAATACTAATGATGAAAGTGTTTAATAATAATAAAATGAATCTGAAATAGATTCAAATATTTATCCTTAAATTTAGTAAGATAAATCATTGATTGATAATGAATCTTAAAGTCTTTAATAAGATTCAGAAGATAATACTATTTAAGATTAGGATCTAAATTAATAATAAATACTTAAAGAAGAGTAAATTAATTCTACTGAGGATTAATCATAGTCTAGTATTACCAATCAAAATTATGAATAAGAGATAGATAATATTAATAATGATTAAATGAATTAAGAAATTCAATAAGAATTTTAAGTATCGGACCCATAACAACTTGAAGTAGAATAAGTTTTGAATGAATAATAGTAATAAGGTAATAAGGTTTAAGATTTATAATAATAAGTAGATAATTAAACTTAAGATGAATAATAATAATAAGATAATAAAGTTTAAGATGAATAATAATTATAAGATAATTAAGGTTAAGATGAATAATAATAAATTGATTAATAAACATAAGATTAATAGTTAGAATTAGATATTTAAGCTCAAAATTTTGATAATTAAACATAAGATAAATAATAAGATTTTGATAATTAAACCTATGATTAATAATAAGATTTTGATAATTCAGTGTAAAATGAATAAAAAGAAGTTGATAATTAAACATAAGATGAATAATAAGTATTTGAAGATTAAACTCAAGATTAATAATAAAAATTTGATGATAAAACTCAAGATTAAGAATTTGATGATTAAATTCAAAATAAATAATTTTAAGTAGATAATCAAATATAAGACTAAATAGAATAATAAAAAGAAGAATAAGAATAATAATAATAATAATAATAATAATAATAATAATAATAATAATAATAATAATAATAATAATAATAATAATAAGAATAAGTAGATGATTAAGCAGATAATGAATAATAAGAATTAAATAATTAAACTTAAAATGAATAAATAGATGAATAAAATGGTGATAATTAAAATGAATAAATAATTATTGACCAATAAAAATAAGAAAATGAATAAGAAGTAACAATCAATTAATTAGAGAATAATGAAATTGAAAATGAGTAGAAAGTGGAAAATAAATTATCAGAAGGTTTTGTGATGGAAAATAATGTAGAAAATTCAGATTATCTTGAAGATGTGTAAGAAGCTGAAAAATTAAAAAAGAAGAGATAAGTTGAAGATATGATTGAAGAAGAAGAAAAAATAAAATAAGAATTAGAATAAAAAGAATTAGAAGATGAGAAAAAACTTAATGAATTATAAGAAGAAGAGAAACTGTTGATTAATCAAAAAGAATAAGAATAATAAGAAATTGAAGAAGTTTAAAAATAAATTGATTAAGATTAAAATTAATTATAAGATTTTGAATAAGGATAGAATGAATAATAAGAATTTTAAGATGAAAAATTAAAATAAGAAGATACTTTAGAAGTATAACCTATGTAAGAAGCATTACAAGAAGATTTAAATGTTTAAACAGATGATATACCCTTATAAAATCAAATTGATTAATAATAAAATGAAAGCTAAGTAGAATAGACTGTTAAAAAAGAAGAAAAAATTGAACCATTAGAAATTAAACCAGCTGATGGTAGTATTTAATTACAAGATGAAACACTAGAAAATGGGTTTAATATTGATGAATATCAAAGATTACAACATAAAAATGAAGAAAAATCTGAATAGAAAGCTTCTAATTATTCATAAAGTAGTGAATTATATCATAAAAATGATTACATAACTTAAATTATAAATGATTAATAAGAATAAGTGATTCAATAATCAGTACCAATATTATCAATTGATGAATAAAGTGATTTAAACCATCAAGATATTTAATAATAACCATAGATCTAAATAACTTAAGAAATTTCATCAGATAATTTATTAAATACTACAGATGAAGAGTTAAATACATTAAACAACTAAGTAAAAGATTAGGAAGCATTTAATGATTAGAATAATATCTAAAAAGATAATGAAATAATAGAAGAAAAGAATTCTAAGCCAGATTAATTAGAATATACTGAATAAAAAGATTAATCTATGTATTTAGATAATCAAATAGAAAATTCAAATGAAATTGATAATCATTTAGATAATGAATTAGATTAATAATTAAATCAATAAAAGATTTAAAATTAGGAAGATGATACTCCTTTATTAATTCCTGTAGATTAAGTAGAAAATTAAAATACAACTTATTAAATTGATCTAAAAGTTGATAATGAAGTTGTTTAATCTGATATTTCTAATTAATTAGATATAAATAATGATGATTAATAATAAATAGATTAAATGAATAATGAATTGCAATTAAAATCTGAAGAAATAGTTTAAAAACATAATCAAGATAAATCAAATATTCTTACAGGCAATAAACTTCATTCAATTTCATAATTATAATAAGACATGAAAACTGATGATACAATTAAAATATAATCAAAGAATTTATTAGATAAAAAATAAGAATAATCAATTTAACAGAATAAATTAATCCATTAAAAGAGAAAATAAAATAGTTTTTTGGAAGTAGAAGAAAATGAGATAGATTTAGATGAAAAATAGTTTAAAATATTTATGTCTTAAAAGAAATAACAATAATAATAGGATTAAGAGAAAAAAAGAAGAAAATTAAAAGCTAAGTAAGAAAAATAAAGAAAGTTAGAAGAAGAATAATTTTAGTAGAAATTAATATAATAAAAATAATAATAAGAAATTTTAAAATAATAATAATAATTGATTGAATTACAAAATTAATAATTATTAAATAAATAAAAATATAAGATGGCTACTAAATAATAAAATAATTAAGTTATTTTAGATAGTAAACCTATAAAAGGAGATAATTTTATTCATTTACAAAAATAATAATCATAAATCTAAATATTAAATTAATAAATTGATACGGAATTTTCATTTTAATAGATTCTATCAAAAGTTGAAAAGGAAGAGAGATAAGGATAAAAATAATTAAGAAGTAATAATAAACATGTCAAAAATACTGATTTAAATTTCTTTTAATTAACAGAAAGTAAATATTTTAATAATAATAATTAGAATAATAATAAAATAAGATTTCATTATAATCTTAAGATTTATTTGAAGCTATTAAATAAGAGATTAAAGAATGTGATTTAAATAATTACACTATTAATTTGTGTTAATTATGTTAAAGTGATGTTGTATATGAAATAAATGATGATAATTGGTATCTAATAGGAATAGCATATGGATTAAAGTATAAAAATTAATTAATTATTAAAGGAGGCATTTTTAAAATCTTTTGAACACTGTACAATATCATTTCAAAAACTCTAAGATATATACATCATTTAATAAAGAATAATAAGTTTGTCTCACATTTGGAGATTAATTTGAAATTGAAAATTTAGAAGAAATTCTTAGCTATTATAATAATCAAACATTCCCTAAGAATTCTTAATTTTTAAGGATTCCTTAAAAAGTAATTTAAATTATTAATATTTTAACTAGATTAGAGCTAATTTTGCTTAAATGAAAGTTGATTTGAACTAACATAAATTTATGAATTTTAGTTTGAATGCAGCAATCAAAAATTAAGAAAACTATAATGGATTTACTGTAGTAGAATAATATATTAAGATTTCAAATGATTTTGATTACTCTTAATATGGTAGTATCTTATATCCTGGATAATCTATTCCATATAAATTGAATGTATAATCTAATGGAATAGAAAATATGTAATTGGATTTGAATCCATAAATATATGAAAAAGTCTTAGAAAACTTTTTGGCAAAGAATTATTTGCAATAGATTTAAGTTACATATAGAGACAACTTAAACAGTAATTTTTTAGTGGTAGATAATGAAGAAATCATAGAAATTGAGATTACAATATAAAAATGAACTAAAGTAATCTGTGATACACATATTAATATTTATGAATTAAATTCTAGTAAATTACATCTAACAATCTATAGCTTTAGTAGAACATTCTGAATCTAAATTCTTTGATAAATACTTATTATTTTACTTATTGAATATATATTCATAATTATTATTTTAATATGATAATAAACAATTAAACTTAACTTGAGAATATCAAAGGAAATTAGTTTTTCTTTTTTCATAAATATGTAATTAAAATTATTAGTTAAAAAGAGGAACTATTTTCAACAACAATTATTGATGAAAATTTTAATGATTTATCATTATAGTTATTAGTAATAAATATTAATTTAATAATAAAAAATTCACATTTGAAATTTATAAAAACAATTAATATTTATAAATAGAATTAGTAAAAGTGGATGAAATCCTAATTCATTTGATCATAATATATATATATATACAGGTCTAACATATTAACATATATTTTCATTTAAACAATTTTTTTAATTGATGTAATTATATCGAAGTTTGTTATTGATTACACTCTTATTCTTCTTGATTTAGATCAATTCCATATGATTGATATTTTTGTTAATCATTTAGATCTTATTTTAACACATCAATAACTCTTTCAGTCAAAAATGTCAAAGATGGCAACATTTATGATTAAGGGATTAAAAATTCTTTTATGTTGAGTTCTTTTCTTAAAATAAATAAAAATATTACATTTATCTTGCTTATTTAGCTAATTATAAACGTCTATAAACATTTGGATCGAGTGGTGCTGCATCTTCAATGATTGGTTTTTCATGTTATTCAGGTTGTTCAAAATGAGCGGTTTCTTATTCATCCATCATTAATGAAGCCTTTCTTTCTGTACTTAGAACAGTTACAAATTTATAATAATTATTATGGTTGATATATGAATATAAAAGAGTTCTAATAATATTAGATGAATATAATAAACCTGCCATTTATAGTTGCTGAGACTAATTTTTGAGAAGTAATTCCATGAAGAATTTTAGATTATTTAAGATCTACAATTAATGCCTATTCATTATGATATTAAATAGCAATTAAATTATCATTAATTTTACTAATTGATTTTGCTTTACCAAATTAGGTTACAATTTATTTTTTGATATCCTAATAAATAGTAATTGTTCCACCATTACAAACTAAAACACCAAATTAATAAATATGAGCAATTTCAGGGAATGTTTAATCTAAAGGTTACTCTTTAATAATATTATTATTTTTTATATTAATATGTAATATACTAATAGATGTAACTATTATAATAGTTTATTCATCTTTAATATAACTTGTTAATATATTTATTCCTTTATATCCATTACCTCTAAATACACAATTCCAATTAAATTAACCTTTATTTTACTTAATTTATTTCCATAATCTAATTTCTTCATTTCCCCAAGTTATTATTGAATTATGACCTATATCCATTCCTTCAATTTCATAATCAATTGTTGTTAATAGATTAAATTCAAAATTATTAATATTTTCGAAAATTGAAAGTGTTTACTTAAATTCAGAACTTAAAACAACAATTAAAAATCTATCTAACATTGCAAACTACAAATTAAACAAATACTACTACTTAATTAATGATGGTTTTATCTCTTTTATATGAATCTTCAATATCAGATATATAATTTCTTTAATATATTGGAATTGTATGTAATAAAATACCTTATGTAGGATTAATAACTTATAAAGTTCCATTTATTCCTTAAGTAATTAATTTATTTTAATAAGTAATGAAACTATTAGGTTAAACATGATGAATTCCTTAATAAAATGGTAATTAATTCTAACCCATTAAGGAAATCTATTTAATTTAATTGATTCCTTTTATATTAATAATAAGATTATCATCAGTATTACACATAGCTATAATTTCACCTCCTTATCTTGGAAAGAATGCCTTTCTAGCAACTCTCAAATGCCATTATACTATGACACCTTCCTAACCAGCAGAATATAGTGATGCTCCTGCAAATATTAATGTATTAATTTAATGAGCATGCCAATGATCTTATTAAACAATAATACCAGTTGAAAATTACAATAATATTAATTAACCATTACTTAATCCACAAGCTAAAAGATCTTAATCATCATCTAATTACATAATAGTAATTGAAAGTCCAAATTTTTTAAGAATTTTATCTTCATTACTAATAACATGAATTTATTTATCATCTGCTATAATTAATAATTCTTTGTATTTTGAATATTGAATATAATTTATATTAGTAAATTATTATGCATCATATATTTTAGAACAAGTGGTTCCTACTCTAACAATATTATTTCCATCATAAGCAATAAAATGATCATTATGAAAACAAACATATTGAAATACCTTTCCTTTATGTTATTTACTCTATAATTATTTCCCATCTACAGAATAAACAAGAAATTAAGAATTATAAGTCAATACATATATGTCTCCATTAATAGCAATTGTTTAAATTTATTCACCTACATTGATTCTATTATTCATTTTCATTGTATCTTTTTCTAATATCAACAAATCTTCACCAGAATAAGTGTAAATAAAGGAATCATAACAAAATAATTTATGTCCCACTTAATCACCAAAATTAATCATAATTAATATAAAAATATTCAAGAACAATTATTTTATTTTAACAAAAGAAAATGATTAATATATAAATCTATAAATATAGTATAAATTTAATAAGGAGAATATAGAATATTAATATTCATTATTTTATCCATTCTAATAATTTAATTGTATCATCCCATCTTTAATCAGTAGATTTACAATTTAATAATACAATTATATATGAATTATTATTATCCTAATAATATTCTACAACACAAGGTCCAGCTTCTTTTGTTTGACCTGTTTTAACTCCTTGAAATCCATTATCTAATAATTTATTTGTATTTTCCCAAAGTATTTCTTTAATGTTACCAAATTTGTCTATTATTTCACTAAAATATATTTTAGTTTTAACAATATTAGCAAAATGTTCATTTTATAATGTTTAATAACATAAAATTCCAATATCTAAAGCAGAAGAGTAATTAAATTTATGATATAAACCTAATTAATATTATAGTTATAATACCATGTGGATTCATATATTATGTTGATTTTAGACCAAATTCTTTTGCACAATTATTCATTTCATCTATAAAGTTGATTCCTATATTTTATTCAAAATTGTATTTTAATGTAATGGCAGCATCATTTCCTGAAGGAAGCATAAGTCCATAAAGAAGATCTCTTATATTTAATTAATCTCCATTTTATAATTATGCAGAAGTACCACCTATTATTTCTGCCTATATAGAAATAGTTTAATACTGCTTCTGGTACTGTAAAATAAGTATTATCTAAATCTAATGATATTAATGAGATGAATTTAAGAGATAACCAACAAGTCATAATTTTAGTTATGGATGCTATTTAACTTTTAAGTTTTTCATTATAACCAGCTAACATAGATCCATCTTTTCCATTTATAATACACCAACTCTATGCAGTAATAGGTGGACCAAAAGGATTAGAAGGACATAATGGAATATGTATAGGTGAAACTCTTTTGTTTCTTTTAATGGCTGTTTAAGGTTGTTAAGGTTTTTTTTGTTTTTAATGATTAATAGAATAATCAGAAGTGTAACTGAGCTATTAAATACAAGTATTTGCTCTAGAATTTTTCTTAGTGAATATGTGGAATTATTTTGTGTCAATTGACATAGTATTGGATTAAGGAAAATTAATTGGATCATAATGTTAATATGAGGAGATTTAAGATATCTTACGTAACTGAATCTTTTCTATTAGTGATTTATATTGATTTATGTACTTTTGATTGATTCTGTGATAGATTTATTTGTAAGGTCAATTTATTTATTTAGTTTTTGAACAGGGGAATTTTGTATTTATAGTCTATAATCTGGAGGATGATGATTAAGACGAAGAATATACTATCTAGGAGTGATGTTATCAATTTTCATTTAATATAAAATATGCTAAAATTTGAGGCATTCAAGAAATAATAGAGATTAATAGAGAGATCACCTTAATTTATTGTACAATAGTTATTGTAGAGAAAGATTGTGTTTATACGTGAAAACTTTAGTTCTAAAGAGAATTTCATGATTCAAGTAATTATGTGATGATTAACAACTTTAGAAAGAAGAATCATAAGAGATTATTTATCTGAAGCCAGAATGTAGTGATCATGTGATGAATGAGTTGACTAGAATAGCAATGTCAGAAATTCCAGAGAATGAATAATTAGAGTATCATATAAGAGCATAATAATTATTGGATTACTTTACTTAGAATTAGTATATTAGCAACCATTATTTTATAGGGTATAAATCTAATACACAACAGTTTTATTTCATAAGATTAATTATGCATTAGCATTGAGAAAATATGGTTTGATAGACGAAGTGATCAATTTATTACTTGATAGTGATTAAATTCTCAAAATTAAAGGGAAACAATTAAAAAAGCAACCACTTGATATCTAATTACTAGCTAAAATTGTATAAAATAAACTTATGCGATTGCGTATCATCTTTTAATGCACTTTATTATTTTCAGAAAGCAGAAGGTAATATTATAAACTAATATAATAGAAACAAATAAGCTTTAGAATTGGCAAAAAGTGCATTAAAATAATTAAAGGTTATCTTTGAAACTACTATCAAATTATGTTAGTAAATGAATCTAACTAATTTAATAAATAAAAAATAAAGAGCTAATTCAGAAATGAGTCTTGCTACTATAACATCATAACAACCATAAAAGTTATCTTACAGTTAGATTGTTGAAATGGTATTCAAAGAAATATTAGCACTTATTAAATGTTCAATGCCATAATCATAATTTGAAGATAAAAATACTTAAATTATTAGAAGTTATCAAAGTAGAAGTTAATCCTTAGATAAATATAGTGAATAGATTTCAATTAGCAACAATATAAATTAGAATAATAAGTTATTTCCAAATCTTAATGATAATCATCCTATGCTATAAATGTAAATTCTAGGTTTAATGTAAATGACATAAGTAGATATAGAAGAATTATATCCTATTAATAATCCTGAAATGGTTGTTACAGAGGAAGTAATACTTGAATTGATTATGCTTGCTGGATTAAGTTTTTATAGTATATCAACAGAATTAAGATTTATTAATTCTAATTTTGATAATAGATCTAATCTTGAAATTTGGTTATGTAAAAGTCTCGAAATCTATTATACTTATGTTCCTCATATGTCATAGATTTTTAATTAAATTTATTAAGTTTACAAGAAACTCTATGGTGTAGATAAATAAATGATACCTGAAGATTAAGAAATTACACATTTAACAAAATTATTAAGACCACACTAATTTAATAATAAAGCTACATTAGCTAATAAAGTAGTAATAGTAATTAAAATACCTGATGGTCCAGGATCTATAATTAAACATGCTAATACTCAATAAAAAACAATACCATCTAATAAAACAAGCAAAAAGTATTATATATATATATATATTATAGACATTTATTAACATAAGTTGAAGATTAAGAAGATACAGGAAGATCTCCAAGTCGTTTATTTTTAAAACCAACCAAATCATAATAACCATTGGAAATAAAATAAAGAGTTGAGTTTTTAATGAATCACATATTAACTCAATAAGCAAAATTAAGTAAAGAGAAGATGAAAATTATAAAGAGTCGTGTTAAACCTGATCTTAGTAATGGTAATGTTGGTATGACTCCCTCTACAAATACTACTAATAATACTACTTAAAATACAACATAAAATTCAGCTAAATCACCACCTAAATAATTAAGTCGTTCTCTCTCGAATTCTCGTAAGGCTAGTCAATGTATAGTACCTGCTTAATTAAATATTTAACAAGCATTGCATTAAACAAGAACAGCATAATTAAAGTATAGATATCGAAATTAATTTAACACTTTGCCTATTGAAGAGAGTCCCACATAATTTAGTAGTACAAGAAAATAAGGAACTCTAGATTCTGCAAAAAAATAATACCAAAATAAATATTAATTAGTACTTTAGTAAAAGTTACAGAACCTCAATTGATATTATAATTATAATTTTATAACTGATAGGTAATCATTTATTTAATGGAACTCTTAAATTTTATAATATTTAATACAATTCTCTTAGGTAAGTTAAATTGATCAAGTATAATCATTTTTCCATTCTATAGAAAGGTTTCATTTGAAGTATTATTTATTAGAATTTGATATGTAAATTAAATATAAAAAAATATTTTATAATTCTTATTTTTACATAAAGTAAAATAAATATTAATCACAAATCTTTATTTATGTAATAACTCAATCAAAAATAATTTTTACATCATTAGAATGAAAAAATACAATTATATAAATTTTAATAATATTAGTATTAAAATAACATTTTAAATTAATAAAATATTATTAAGAATATAATTACTAATAAGAAAATACAAGCATATAAAAAAATAAATAGAAATATAAATAATACTTAATATTATCTTTTATATCTTACTTAATATACATATCATTTAATGTTTTCATTTCTGAACCAAGGAATGAATGCACTTACTCTTTTTTATTAAATATAATATTTAGGTCTCTTTCTTAAAATGTGTTTTTCCATTTCTGGAATTGAATAAAATAAAAATAATGATTGCATTATGACAGCTCCTATTATTGTAAACCAATATTCAAAGCCAAAAGATAATGTCATAATATATAATCCCCACCAAAACATACATTCACCAAAATAATTAGGATGTCTTGAATATTTCCATAAGCCTTCATCAATAAATTCTTCTGTCTTTCTAGATCTCCATGGGAATAATTATAAATCTGCAATAGTCTCTATTGTTAAAGCTGAAAATGCAAATATAACTCCAAAATAAAAGACAAATGGATTATAATCCTGATCACTATCAAATAAGGCATAATAAGTTGGATATAAGCCAAAATAGACCATTAATGTAGGTCCCACATGTAATCCTAAGTAACTGAATACCCAATATATAAATTCATTATTTAATTTTTTTCGAAATACTGGATACCTAAAATCTTCATATGTTAATCCAGGCCAAAATGATAAAAAATTGTAATTATGTCTAATAAAATATGCAAATGGCACAATAATTACCCATATATTGGGTTGGTATGGAGTTCTAAATACCCAATAAATAATTAAATAAAATCCTGGAATTTACCAATAGAAATCATAAATAGATGTATTACTAATAATTGAAAGAGCATTTACTTATATCTGTATGATTGAATAAAAACAATAGAAGTAGCAATCAAATCAACAACAAATGTTACCATCAATACATTCTTGATGTATTATTCTACAAAGAGTGTTAATGGTATCCTAAATATATTATTAATAATACCATAATGCAGTAATTATAGCATATGGATAAAATACTATCCAACATGATTAAGAATATGTATAATGAGTAGGTTTTTACATTAATATTAATAATTAAGAATTCTTAATTATATATTATTTAATATTATAATAATATCATTTTTTAGCAATTCTTGGTGGCCAAAACTAAGTTAAATTTTCAGCTGTTCCCAAATATTTTTTTTCTAATTAATCTTAAGGAATTGCTTCCTTTAATTTTTCTAATGTTTTCTTAGTTAAAAAGACATTTTTAGATTTGCTTTCATCATCCATAAATGCAGCACCAGCTTTCCAAGATAAGTCAACTCCTGTTGATGGATTTAGTACATACATTCTATGTAAACATCCAACAAAATTAAGAGCCATAGTTTTTATTATCTCCCCAAGACCAGAAGGTAATCCAAAAACACCAATATCTTTAGTATCTATAATACAAATCCAATTTTCAACTTTTCCTGGCATCATCATATTTTTCTTGACAAATCCCAAAAAAAATGATAACACTTAGATCATAAACTCTTTTGGATACTAAAATTAGTAAATTTTAATACTTTTTTCTAATCTACTCTAAATGCTTCTAAATAAATGACAGGTCTAAATTAATAATCTCTTCCAAAAGTATATAAGAATCCAGCTTCTAAAAATTCCTACATTTATTTATTCAATGTATGCATATTTGGATTAACTCTCCAAGCTAAGTGAAGTTATAATCTCTATAAAATATTAAAAAATTATTATTACCTCAATACAATCTTTAATCTTGAATTTACCATTATACACAATTTTAAGTGTGTCTGTTTAAGTCCATCTAAATAAATATATAAACATATATAAATACCCATCTGGTAATTTTATTCCTTTCTTTTAAATCTCTTCCTCTAATAATTTTATGTGTTGCATCTCAAATTAATCATATTGAACATCCCCTCCAAATATCTTTCTATATTGCTTATCTTTTTCTGTTTTTCTGATATATAATTCTATATTATAACTAATAGTAAATACAATCATGTTATATAGCCATAGCTTCAGGTGGACATTGTAAATAAGAATATTCTGATTAATCCATATATAATTTTTAATTAACAGAAAATGATAGTAATGAAAAGATCATTTTCTCATCCAATAAGAAGAATTACTACTTTTTATAAATCAGCAAGATTAAGATCAGAATCCTGGATTCCATCACCTATCAGAGTTTCAATAAATTAGTTTTCTATATAAAGAAGATCCCTTGAATTTCCTAATTAATGCTAAAAATTAAATTCCCATAATTATAATCATGTGTATTTGTATTGTTAATTTTATAGATTGATAATTGGAATGAATAATTGAAAAAAGAATTGGCTAATAAGATAAAAGAAATTGATGTAATTAATAAAAAGACTTATTTAGAATTTGAAAAAGAATATCATTTTATCATTAGAAACAATAGAAAAATAAGAAGCAATCATTTAAGAATGGCAAAAGAAATATTAAGAATAAGAAAAATAACATAATAGAGAAATAGCATAATTAAAAAGTAATCTAGATAATTCAATATTTGATGATCCTTAAATAGATATAATTTAATAACAAAATGATAACAGTCATCATCAAATAGTAGATGATTTATAAATTATTTAAGAAGAAAGCGAATATCCTTAAATTAAAAGTCTAAATTAGTCTGTTGCATAAAATTTTAAATTTTATGAAATTATAAATGCTCTCAATAAGTTGAATTTGGATGAATCACCAATTATTGAATAATTAGATATAAATGAATCTTACATAATATAAAGAATCAACAAAATAATAAATTATACTCATAAATTAGAAACTGAAATTGATGATTGGAAATGCAATTATTGGAATCTTGAAAAGTAACTCAACTCTTAATTAAAAGATAATTTTATTTAATAAGGATAATCTTAGGAAATTGAAATTGAATTTGATTTTGATAAAAATTAATTAGTTAATGCTATTTAACCAAATAGTAAAAGATCATTATAAGCAGAAAATTCTGCCTTATAATAAGAAATATAAAGATTATAAGAATTAAACAATTAATTATTGAATTAATAGAAGAGTTAAACTAAATAAGTTTTGGAATCTCTAATAAACAAACAAAAGAAAACAAATAGAAAGAAGAATTTAACTCATATTCCAGAACCTGCAAATAAACATTTCACATAGGTTTCAACTCATCATACAAATAGTCATAACAATACTAATAAGAAAAGTCATCCTACACAATAAGGATCTCCAAATTAATAAAGAAATAATCAATAAATAAATTCTTATTTTAGCCATTATTTTTAATAACAAAGAGGATAACCTACATAACATTACTCTCCAGTAATTTTAACTAAAGTTTAATAGTTTGCAACTAAATAATAATTAGGAATAAAATATCTTAAAGATATGTCAATGGATCATTATTATAATGTGAATGTATATTAGACACCAATTATAGTTAAGTAATCTAGTTTGAGTCCTTATTAAAAATCAGGAAACAAATTTATTTAATTTTGAATTTATATATTATCTTAAATTAATTTGAATTTATATATATTTAATTTATAGATAATTAAATAATAGATGAGAGTAATTCAAAAAAATAGAATACTATCTCTTTGAAAATTACCTATATAATTCTTAATTAGTAAAAATGGAACAAGATTTAGAATTTATATAATTTATATTTAATTAATTTAATAATTTTAAGTTCATAAATAGATTAGAATTAAAATTAAAGTAAATGATCCCATTTTTTGTTAAAATATTAAATAAAGTAAAATTAAGAAAGTACATAACAAATCTATCAAATTTATTAAAATGAAATAATATCATAATGAATATATCAAGGTCATAAGTAATATTAATAGTTTATCTCATTATGTAATTTTAAAGTCATCATAAGAAGAATAGCCTAAATTCTCTTCTGGCTATTATTCAAAATATAGAATTCTTGAAATATTATAAATTTTAATTAATATGAACAATCGATTACTATATTACAGCATCTCCGATGTCTTAGTTTGTCTTGTGATTGGAGTGGTAAATATATTTCAGAAATCCTGCTCTTATGGATTTGCCATTTCATTTCTTGCAGAGTCTATTTTGATGATTGCTTTTATTGTTTTGCTTCAAAAAAACTTTTTAAATGCCTTGATCAGAGATTGTTACTTAATAATTTCATGTATTTTATGCTAAATTTTGCAAATTGAGTTCTCAGAATAAAAAGACTCTCCTGTATTTACTATAAATATTATTAGGAATATATGCTCTTCTTCATCATAAGATTATTGGTACTTATAACAGTTATTTAAAGAATACCATTTCGAATCAGCATTTTTATTATTATTTATATCTACTTATGTATAAGATTAAGGTTTTATAGAAATATATTTCCTTATCTTGGTTTGATATTTGTACCTTTAGTAATCAAAATAGATAAGCAACAATAAAATCTTTCTAATTTAATTACTGATTTTTTCAAAGAGACAATTAAATATCCTATATTAATAATAGATGCCTAATCAAAACAACCTTTATTTCATACTAATTAAATTGAATCTGATTTTAATTATTCAATTAATAATCAAAAGAACTTCATCAATACTCTAAAATAATTTTAAGATTCTGCTCATAAATCTTTAAGTTAGATTTTAGATGAACAAAAATTACTAACTACAACTGGAGATCTAACTTAATATTGTAAACTTTAAGTAATTTCTAATGAAGATTATTCATATATGGATTCCCCTTAAAATAAAAAGATTTCAACATTTATTCATGATGAAATTAATGAAGATAAATAATAATTAGTTGTTTAAAGTCCTAAAAGTTAGATTGATACTCCTTAAAAAATAAAAAAAAGTAAATTTGGATAATTTAAAGATAGTCAATATCTTTTAGATAAAATTAATGAATTAAAATAAAAAAAATTAAATATTTAAGTCTAACATTGCATTTGGAATTATAAAGAAGCTTATATGATTTAATTAAAAGATTTAAGAAATCAATAAATGATAGAAACATTGAATGAAGAATTAGAAGAAAGTAAAAGACAAAATGAAAATAAGGATTAGATTTTAGCCACAGTGTTCCATGATTTTAAGACTCCAATTAATGGTATTTCAACTATTGTGGAGGCTATGGAAGAGAAATTTGAGATTAATTCATAATAGAAATACTATTTAAGAATAATTAAGAAAAATGTATATTTGATGTTGTATATGATACAAGATATTTTGGATTTCGCGAGAATTCAAAGAAATTAATTAAGGTTGAGCATCAGTGATTTCTATTTAAATGAAATAATAGAAGAAGTAGTTGAATTGGTGGCAATATAAGCGGAATAGAAGGGAGTTGTGATAACAACAAATTATGATCTACCGACTTACTAAATTTATAGTGATCCAAATAGAATTAAATAAATCTTAATGAATTTTATTTCTAATTCATTGAAATTTACTGAATAAGGATCTATAACAATTTCAGTGACTTCCCATCAAACAGATAAATCTTAACATATTGTTCGAACAGGTTCATCTAAAAATGTTTTAAACTAATAACAAAATTAATAATCTATAGGGTAATTGAGAAAATAACTATCAGGGATATCAGTAAAGTCAATATCTGGATCTAATAGAATGATTTATACTATAACAATAGCAGATACAGGTTGTGGGATATCTGAAAAAATTAAGCCAAAGTTATTTAATATGTTTGCAACATTCCCAAGTAAAGAAGTTTAGAATAAATGTGGTACAGGAATTGGATTAATGGTTTGCAAGAAATTAATTAAATTATTGGGGCCATCTGAAAATATAGATCTATGGAGTGAATAAAATAAAGGAACCAAGATGTCATTTTAAATATATTCTCGATTATCGGATGATCCAAAAAGATCTCCAAATTATATAAGTGTATTCAAATAAGAAAATAGCTAAAAGAATTTTAATATTGATAATCAATCTTAATATGATGAATAACACTCTATCCAATAAAAATTTGTTCGTTCTTCATTATTGTATGTTTATTAAAGATCAGTAGATAAACAGGATGCTATTATTGATTTTGATTTGCATCCTGAATATGAAGATATTAATGAATAGAAATTCCATAATATTAATTACATGAAGAACTAACGATTCCCTACAATTGGGAAAATAAGAAATAAAGAATAAGTACTTGATGATTCATAAGATGTAATTGATCCAAGAAATCGTTTATAAAAGATATTAAAAAATAAACCACATTTTTCCATTTTGATTGTTGATGATCAACCATTTAATGTAATAGCTTTGAAATTGCTTTTATAAGATATCTCCTCAAATATCACATTTTTAGAGGCTTATAATGGTTAGTAAGCTATCAATAAATTAAAAGGTTTCTAAAAATAAAAAAATATCAAATACATATTTATGGATTTATTGATGCCAATAGTAAATGGTTGGTAAGCTACATAAATGATTAGAGAAATGGTATAATATACAATTTATGTTAGATATAAAAAAATGAAGTAGATGATCTTAAAATTATAGCAATTTCTGGTTATGATGATGAAAATGAACAGGAAAGATGTGGAAATATTGGATTTGATGCCTTTATTACTAAACCTGTAAAATTGGAAATGATTGCAGAAGTGTTTGTTTAGTTAGAGAAAGTTTGAAATTAAAATTTTGAAATATTACTGATTATATATATATTTATAGCAAATAATAATCCGTATATTATAATTATTTTGTTTATATTATTGTTAAGAAATTAAGTATATATTTGAAATTCCACAATAAAAAATATTTATTAATTAAGTTGTCTTAGAAAATCTTTGTAAGAAAATTATATTTGGATGAAAAAGGAGATGTTGGTTACACAAAAATCAAAGCAAGATGGGATGAATTGAAAAATTACAATGTCAGCTTAGGCAATAAGCATTTTACTTAACAAGTAGTAGAGAAAGCTAAAACACTTTCTCAAGAATATTAACAAAGACTCTAAGACATCATGATTGCAGGATTAACCAATGATGATAGTTCAGTTGGAATTGCTGCTACAAGACCTGAGGATTATGATTTCTTCCTCTTTTATTTAGAACCTCTTATAAGAGAATATCACAAAATTGAAGGATAAACTAAATAAGAACATGACTGGAATATCCCTGTAGGTGAATATGTTCTTACAAAAATTGATCCAAAACTAGAAAAAGTTTCAATGAGAGCAAGAGTAGCCAGAAATGTAGCTGGATACAATTTGTCTTCATCAATGGATAAAGATGAGAGAATCAAATTTGAAAACTAAATGGTTGAAGTCTTTGAAAAATTTGGTTTCCCTGGAAAATATCATAGTTTAACTTCAGGACATATAAAATTTATTTCAGATTAAGAAGATGATGTTCTTAGAAGCAAACACTTTTTGTTCATAAGTATGACACATGATAATTACTTAATGTCTAATGGTGTAGCTTCTGATTGCCATATGGAAGAGGTATTTGGATCAGCGAAGATGAAACTAAAATGGTTTGGGTTGGAGAGGAAGATTAATTGAAAATCATAATTATTGTCTAAGGAAATGATCTTGGTAAAGTAGATTAATCATTACATGAATTATTAAGAGGAATAGAAAAGAGTGGATGAAAGTTTGCAGAACATCCTACTTATGGTATAATTACCACATGTCCAACAAATATGGGAATCTATTTTAGGAAAATTCTCAAATATTAAAAAAGGTGGAAAAGATGAAGCTAAATTAAAAGATATTGCTAAATCATTAGGATTATAAGCAAGAGGTGTTGGTGGAGAACATTCAAATATGGATAGCGAAGAAACAGTTGAAATTTCACCATCTGCCAGATTTGGTGTTACAGAGGAAAGTGTTACCAAAAGATTGTATGAAGGATTAATCAAATTTTATGAAATTGAAAAGAATGCCGCTAATGAGAAAGAAAGATAAAATTGTTGCAATACATTTTGAATTATAATAATAAAAAAAATTAGATTATTTATTTTATTCTCTCAATTTTATTTTTATTAATTTTATATAAAAAATCTTCATTATTATTATAATTTAGATTTTTTTTATTTAATTTTAGTATTAATTATTTCTTGTAATCTTTTAAGTTCTTTTTCCATTTAACTAATTTTTAATTTTTGTTATTTTGTATTTTATTTGCTTTTACTCTTTTTTTTTTTTGTTTATTCATTATTCACCTTTTATTACATTATTTGATTAAATAAATTATCACATTCAATTTATTCTTAACTTTAACATTTTAATTTCTCCATTAGAATATCATTTTCTTATTTTTATTTTTATAATTCTATTTTTAATGTATCTAACTCTCCTCCCATTTATTTTTATATTTTTTCATTTGCTATTTTCAATTATTCTAATTCTTATTTATAATTGTTTAACAACCCTAACACATTAGTTCTACTTTAGGATAATTCATTCTAAGACATATCAACTTATATTAATTAGTTATGCATAGATAGCAAATTTTGATAAGAAGCTTCAAGTTCTATCTTTTCTTATTGAATTTGATCATTTTATTACTATTTATTTTCTAATTGTTATTACAATTAAGCTTTTTCATTAACTAAATTATTGAACTACTATAAACATTAATCTTCTTATTGAATCGTACTCATTAATTTGATTCTTGCCTTCTCTCCAAAAGATTAGACTTTCTATTCAAATTAAGATGATAATTCAATTTGTTATAATTATAATTTTTAGTTTAGTCTCTCCTAAAAATCAAGATTTATGTTTTGCATTTATAATTAGATTTATTATATTTATTTCTTGATTTAATTATTTGAATCTTATAATGATTAATTCCTTTATTAAGTTAATTAAATTAGTTTATCATAATTTGTTTATCGATCAGTGCTATTATTAATTATACCTCTTGATTATAAATAATCATTCAATTATTGATCAATCTGTTGCATAACTTCATGTGTTTAATCAAAATTTGACATATTCTATGTAAACATTAAGTTTATTCAAAATTTTATTCAAATTTAAAATAATAAGAAAAAATAATCATTCAAAATTAGGATTATTGTTAATTTATTTGATTTTGAGTAAATGAGATTTTCTTATACAAAACTCTTTCCTTTTCTTAAGATTTTCATCCTTTTCTTTCTTAACTTCTTGATTTATCTCAAATTTAGGAGTTTAAAATGAATTCATATATTATTATATTTTGCCTCTAAAAGTTTTTGGAATAGAACTATTCTCAGATGATGCATCTGTACTACATCTCAAAGAAGTCATACTCATTCTTTAAGTTGTGGCTCCTTTATATGGTGAAAATATATGATTTCCTTTTCCAAAAGTAATAAAAGGATGTTCCAAAGCCTCATCCGATGATAATCTCAATTTACTATCTTTACTTAGCGTCCTCTTTAAAAAATCTTTACAATTTTCAGAAGCATTCAAATTGATTAAGCTAATTCTGCCATCATAATTTTTTTATACTAATTCATCATAATTACTAGAAGCAAATGGTTCCTTTCCTGTTAATGCAAGATATGCAATAATTCCAATACTATAAACATCTACTTTAAGATCATATTTTTTGTCTTATAAAACCTCTGGTGCTACATAACCAGGTGTTCCACATCTATTGTATATATATTTTCCTTCTTTAGTAAATTTTTCTGCCAATCCTAAATCAATCAAAGTGATAGTGTCAAATGCATCTATTTCTTTTAGTAATATGTTTTATGGTTTTAAATCTCTATGAAAAATACCTTTTGAATGCATAAAACTAATTGCTGTAATTATTGGTTTTATTACTTCTGCTACTTGATTTTCTTCTAAACCATATCTACTAAATGAATGATGAAGTTCTCCTCCTTAATGTAAATCTGTAATAAAAATGATATGTTATTTGTTCTCAAATACTTCATAGAGTCGAATGATATTTGGATGTTATAATAATCTTAAATAATGCAATTCTTTATTAATAGCTATAATTTCTGTTTCTTCTAACAGAATTCTCTTCTTTTCAAAGATCTTGGCTGCAAAATTTAGTTTATTTGTTTTATTTGTAGCTTAATAAACTTATGCTGCTATTCCTTGACCAATTTTCTTAGCAATCTTATAAAAAGATGTAAAATCTAATTATATTGTTAAATTTTTAAAGGAATCTATCCATTCTTAAGTATCTCCATATATCTCTATTGTTTAATCATTCTTTTCCAAAACAAATCCAATCATCTCATTTTGCTTAAATAAAATTTTCAGAAAGGAATTCACTAGACTGATATATTTCTATTATTGTTTTTAATTAATACTTGCTTAGAATATTAAATATGAGATTCTCCCAAAGTCAAATTTTTGGTTTTTGATTTATTTTATGTTTTTACAAAAAATGTTCTTGAGTTTTTTTACTTAAAAAGATTCTATAAATTATAACACCAAAGACTTTGTCCATCATTAAATACAGAGTCTCTATGCCTAATAGTTTCAGCCATGCTGTATTATTGGTATTACATAAACGATTTCGCTGAATTATTTGTAAGAAATTTAATAATCCATTATATCTTGTATCTATAAACATACAGATTCAAATTTAGATCAAATATATATGATTAACTATTCTAATAATGATACATATAACTCATTTTTTTTTAATTGACCTTTTATAAACTGCAATACCTTCCTTTTTGCTCTCTTATAAGAAAATTTCAAATTTTCATTTAATCCTAAAATATGATTCCATATTGCAATCTTCAAGTATTTCATTCAATTATTAGTATTGGTTGATTTTTTTTAATATATCTTTATTCCTAGGTTGTTTTTATATTATATAATTCATTTTATTTATTCAAATTAATCTCTATCCAGCTAATCTATTTCATTATTATAATAATATTACTTCAAACTATGGTATTATTTTTTTAATTTAGAATAAAAGTTAATTTTATTAAAAAAATATATTATGGATAAACAATTCAAGCAAACAAATATTTTTAATACCATAAGGAATAAAATGAAAATATCTTAAATTAATAATTTAATAAAACTTTAAATTTCTATTATGGTTCTCTAAAATCCTTAAATTGACACATTTTGAAGCTTTTCTTATATTGTCTAATATCATTAATTTTTTCTTAATAAAGAATCATTATCTCCATTTAAAAAAGACATTCTTTTTTTAAATGAATGAACCTGAATTTGATTATTTCAAGTA